TCAACAGGGCCATGGGCTCAGGATGTGCCACGTCCTGCATGAGCAGCACTTTGCTGCCTACCACAGTTCAGTGCTGCAAGGAAGTTAAAGTTAACTTAATTTTTATTTCCCCGGATGAGGCACTCGGTACCACACAGCACTGCTGATACCTGACTTCATTCCTTCTTGCCTCTCAGAGTCTGATTTAGTTTTCTGTTGTGTGGTTTCTCCAGCATATTCCTGTCTTCAGGCTGCACATCGTTGCCTTCAGCAGACACATAGACACTGATTGCTGTCAGAAGCAGATGCCTCCTCCTCTGGTGGGGCTTTTATTCTGTAAGCAGTGAAAACAAAACATGGTGTCAAAAATCCTAACACAGTGAACAGGGGGTTAAGTTGAATACCTGCCTCCCTTTCTATATGGAATCACAGAATATCTTGAGTTGGAAGGGACCCATAAGGCTCATTGAGTCCAACTACTTCATCCCCTTTGAAATAGGAGGATCTTCATACCAGAGGACCTCCTGCAACGCTGCATCTCACCCCAACAGGTGACGTGGCTGTGGTTAACCTCAAGTTGGAGCTGTACCCCCAGCACCCGTGGGCATGCACCCAATCCCTGATTTTCTCACTGATTATATCATCCCTATCTAGGTTTTCTTAAATTGCTGCAGTATTCTGGGGGAAGAGAGTGCCCACCTCCTTCACTCTGCCTCCTGATGACTCCTCTTTTTTTTTTGTATGGCTGCAGAGGGATTTCTGTGCACGACTTCCATTCAAGTTAATGGGAATTCACCGCTTAAGCACAGAGGTGAGAATAATGCGGCTCTTTGTTCTCAGCCATTTGAGTGCAGAGGAACATGCGTTTCTGTTAAACACCTGGAGAGCAAGGGAAAGAACAGCTCGACGTGAATAGAAGCAAAGACTGCCAGTGCCCGGCCCTGGCACACCTGCACCATGTCGGTGCTGGTAGAGCCCTGCGCTGCTGCTTTGCTGCAGAGGGCATTCTGTGCTGGAAGGGCAAACTGCTGGTGAAAATGCCATGTAGTTTCTTTGGGGAAATCTCCGGGGAAATCAGTGGGTTTGTGCACATTTATGTCAGGGTGCATTAGAGCAGCTGTTCCAGATCTTTGGGTAATTAGCTAAAATCTGATTGTTCAGAAGGGAACCAATTTCTCTCTTCCTGATGCATCAGGCTCCCCATGCCTCATTAAGGTGGCTTTTTGTATTTTTTCTCTTTTCCTTTTTTCCCTGGACTCCATCCTGACCGTGCTCCTTTGCCACAAGGTTGAGTTTTCCTTATTCATTTGTCAGTGCTCAGTATAGCCATAGAATGATAATACAAAGTACTGTGGAGAATGTCACGGATGGCAGCAGGTTGCCTCAGAGTTTTTCTTGGCAGGATAGATGTGACTATAACTTGGAAAAGAGGCAGTGCTGATGTACGTACACATGGTGTGTTTAATTTAGAATTATGCCTAAAGTCTTTATGAGCATAGTGGATGTGACATGACATTTAAAGGAAAACTCTCAGAGCAACACCTGAGCTTCTGACGCGAAGGCTAATTTTCAGAACAATACATAAAGTAAATCACAAGGAGTTAGGCAAATAATTCCCAGCTCCGTAGGTGATGCTGTAGGGAATTCATAAATTATCTGCCCCTGAAGATACGGAGATCTCCCACTGCCTTCATGCCTGATGGGAGCTCTCACAGAAAGAGCACAAGGCCAGAGTGTCTCTAGATGACTAGTGAGACTAAACATTGCCTATAGCCATTACATGGCCCTTAGGGTCATGTACCATCATACTAAAAGTGCTGTTTCTCCCATGAGTGCACACCAGAGTGAAGACTGTACAGCACTTAGGCTTTCTGATGGACCCAAATGGGTTGGATGTCATCAGTGTGTTTGAGCAGAGGGTTCCACTGGGGGCACCCCAGTTCCTCAGTGGTGTGAGATGGTTTGGTGATGTGTCTGAGCAGCACACATGGTGCTTTTTGAAGTGCCACCAGATACAGTATATGTGTCTGTGGCAGCCACTTTCTTGCAAACAACAACAAGAGATCTTGTGTAAGATCTGTGCTACAAAGGGCTCTCTGATCTGAGCCTTTCACAGGCTGGGCTCCTGCCTTATCTTTAGCCATAGACTTTCTATTCATGCAGGCATGGTTAGCCTTTAACAAGCCCTCCCAAGAATCCCCCTGAGAGTCCACCATAGGTGATTAGGAACCATGTGCTAAAAGCAGTGTGGGCATATCTGGGCTGCCACTGGTTGATCCCTGTGCTCTCCCCACCAGCTGTGCCACCAGCAAGTGAAGAGGCATAGATTTATGGTACAAGAACATAACCCTATGACAGGTTATGTCCTGCTCTTCTTTCAAATCACCTAGCAGCCATTTCAGGTACCTGCAGGATTTTCATCCTTCAGGTTGCTCCTTCCCTACTTGGACAATGAAACTGATGGAGTTCATAAGCACAAGTTACCAAATCTGGTGGGAACTGGAAAACTCAGGGACTGGGTGTTCTTGGGCCTCATTCCCTGCAGAATTGAATGGAAAAATTATCTCCTCCTCTGTGTAATCTGAGCAGCTGAACCCATATGAACACCATTTGACTGAAAGTTTTTCACCTCTGCTCTGTGTCCTATGGGCTGTGAAGGGGCATAAAGACAGGGACTAATTTAATTGCTGCTTTAAAATGTCAGAAGGTATCACATTAGCTGGTGCTGGTGCCGGGAAGAGGAGACCCACAGTTAGCAGAGCTGCTTGCTGCTTTCCTTTTGAGGGCAAGAGGCTGCATGGCTGTGGATTTCTCATGACTTTCCCCAGAGGATCGTTGTTTGTTAAAAAGTCATAGCACTGGGACAGGATGGTCTGATGGAAAGGGAATTTCGAGCCACAAACCCTTCCTTTCCTTCTGCAGGTAAGTGGCATTCCACAGAATCCTGACCAGTATGAGTCATGTTATTCTGCACATGCCCACTGAAACTATATTCTGACCATTTTCATTCAGCATCTATCTTACAGCACTGTGTCAGCTCCCACCTGTTGGAATAAGCAGTGAGGTATGGGATTACTGTGGTATGACTTTGCAGTGCTGAAGCTGTGCACCAGGCTTCAGATTGCACCCACGGAGCTGTGCGTGGGGGAGGGAATCCAGAGCATCCCTTCCAGTAGGGTTATGTGGAATTTCTAATTTCAGGAGATGAGTTGTGCATCAATGGGAGTTTAGCCTCTTTTCTCCAGGTAACTAGCAAAAGGACATGAAGAACAGGAGATGGAAAGTCTGCCAGTGGGACAAGATATCCATATGGTCCCTTGCAGCTTTTATAGATACTCTTGACCACAGCAGATGTGTCTGTGGGTTCCAAAGTGAGGCTTGCTCCTTATCCCTCTCTTTGTTGGAGCCTACAGAAGCAGGGAGGAAAGCTGGGGCGAGAAAAGCATAGGGCATGGGAGAAGACCACAATGGTTTGGGGTCTGGGGTATGCACTGGCTCTGTAATGAGAAGTACCAGCCATTGTGCAACAAGTCAAGCTTCAAACCTTGCAATTTGGGCATGACATGGAGTTAGAGAACAATAGCAGAAAGCGAAGCTCATTGGTGCCTATTCTGAACTGTATAGGATAGGTGTGAAAGCATACATGTTGAAAGAAGTCTTAAATAAAGCAGTTGCACAGGGAGGACTTTCACTAGGGCTAATATTTTGTCTGCTCTATGGGATGCTCCAGGATGTATTTTCCTCTTGTTTTTCTCTACACAGGTTATGCTCTCTGGTTATTTAAACCACTGAGAGCCCCAATAAGTCACCAGGCAAGACTGGGTTCCGTGTCCTCCAGAGAGGATCATCTGCTGTCTCTCAGCACTGCTGTTTAGAGGGACAGAGGATGTGGTCCAGAAGGAGGCAGTGTCATTGCATCTTGAGTGTAGTTGAAATCCAGCACAGGCTGTGTCTGGAAGTCATTCTCCTAACTGCAGTGGTAGGATAAGATCTTAATGGCATCCATCCTGCCCTCTGCAACTGGTGGACAGTTGGGAAAGTGGAGAAACCGAAGGTGAAGAACCACGGTTTGGATGTAGCTGTTTGTTCCTATATACAGAAAGCATCTCTCCGTGATGTGTTTAGAAATCTGTAAAGGAGGAAGGAAATGGTGTGATCATTGGGAAGCTGTTTCCCAAGGGCCAAAAGCATAAAACAACAAGAGATCTCAGAGATGATTTGGTATATTAAGTGACTGCTGCTCTTCTGAATGCTGTGCTGAACTTAAATGTGCAGGTTGACTGAAGTGCATGGGGAAGGTATAGCGCAGGGAAAAAGACACTACCAATATTTGTTCAGTCAAAAATCAAGAACAAAACAACCTATCTGATTTTTAGCCATCTTGAAGTATAAACAAGTCTCAAGGCCAGCTGATTCTGTGCTTGAGTCCACTCTCATCTCAAAGGGAGGAGATGAACTCTGCTCCAGGAAGGAAGAAATGACTGTGGCTAATGTTGAAGTGATGCAAGTACAAAGATGGCAGCAAAGCAAGTAGAAGTAGTGGAATCATTAGCTAACATTGTCTGAAACAGGTGTAGCTTGGAAGAACACCCCTGGAATCAAAGTAAAGGGGTACAGGCTCTTATTACTCTTCCTTCAGAAACTGCCTTTGGTGTTATGGGGCCCTGTTCATTGCCACTCTGCACCGATCCCTTTGTGACCACAGGGACTCTGCCACTGCAGCATCCAGGGCCTTCCATGGCTTTTTTTTTCTTGATAGGACTTCAGACAACTTCATTTTCCAGAAAATACTCTTTGCAAAGACTTTGTCTCTCAAGTTACTACAATTAATCAGCTGATTAATGCATTCAAGTATTTATGTGTAGATTTGAAATTCATTCTAGCAGTATTTATGTAAACCCAGTGGGAAACCACTGCAGATGAAGAGAAAAAAAGCAGTGAGAGAAATACATTTGGCTGATGTTACTGTTGACACATCCTAGGCAGAAAGAACGCAGTGATCGTAGAATAATTGCAGTCCCCAGGAAGGTGAATTATTGCTGTAGTTGGCCCAGTTTTAGTCTTTCAGTGAACCTGGTAGGTTCTGGCATATGGGAGGTCACTGCCTATATGGTCCCATAACTTGGGGAAAGAAATCAATTGATGAGGAGACAAGGGAAGGTTGGGAGGTTCCTTGGGGTGCTTGGGGCTTTCAGTAAGGAGTGTTCCAGAAGGCAATGAGGCCACATGGGTGTCTGGGCAGCCAAGGGGAGGTCACACTGCAGGGATGAGCAACCCCTGACGTCTTGGCAGCTGAGCGATCCTCTGACAGGCTGGAGGAAGCTCTGTGGTTGCAATTATGCAATTCCACTTGATGAGGTTTTTCTCTGCAGAGTTTTTTGCTGCTCGCGACTGTCCGAAAGTGTGCAAGGTGGAGCCTTGGGATCAACTTGTAGGAGAGCTTCTCTGGGTTTGGGGAATCCTGACTGATTTCAGCAGTACAGCGCGGGGTGGCAGCTGCTGGGAGATGGATCCCTTACCAGGTTCATCCTTTTTTAAGGCAATTTGATATGCTGGACGCTTTCACCCTCTTGCTTTGAACGCTTCCGCATCGGCAGGAGGTAGGTGAGGAGATCAGCTGTCTCCTGCAGAGTCACTCGGGGTGCTCCGCTCAACTGGGGTTTTTTGCAGCTCTTTGTGCCGGGTGTTTAATTTTTTAAGGGAGCCGCTACTCTCTCTCTATCTACAGGAAACAGAATTAAAAAAAAAAAAAGAGGAAGGATTTGGCGAGAAGCCAAGCCTAGTGACTGAAGTAAGAAGCAGGGAAGTTGGAGTAAGTGTAGTAGTTACCGGGACGTTGTATGGCAGAGCAGGGCCACGCCGGATCGATCGTTCGGGGTGGGAGAGGAGCACACGATGCCCGCGTGGCTCTGCTTCCTTGGATGAATGCCACCGCTGAAGCTGCTGATCCTGGGAGGGGATCGAGCTGCGAGTAAACGAGACCAGAGGAGTGCTATGGAGGGCAGCAGCTCTGTTGCTGTGACTTTTAGGAACCTTCCAGGGTAAGATCGAACGTTTCCCTTCGCCAAGCTTCTCTCCTCGATCAACATTTCGCGGGGGCCGGGGGGGGGGGGGGGGGGGGGGCGGAAAACTTGCGCTTTTCCAAACCCCGAACAACTTTGTAAAGCTTATTTATTTATATATTTCAACCCCCCCGCCATCCTACCTCCCAGCCCCCTCCTTCGCGAGAGACCCGATAGGGCGGAGCGCGCGGAGCGGCCACCGCGGTGTGTTATTGTTCGACGGCGCGGGGGTGCGCATCGCATCGCACCGCACCGCACCGCACCGCACCGCACCGCTGCGCGCCGTAACCCGAGCGCGGCCGCCCCGCGGAGCGCACGCCCCTTTCGGCCGCCTTCCCGGTGTCAGCGCTGAGGGGTGCTTTAATGAAGACAGATGGAGGATATTGGATCGTGGCTTTGAGACGTGGCAGATAACAGGCTGTTTCCCGGCAATTACAGCTAATTGCGCTGGTGTGTTGGAAGGGAGGGGGGAGCAGCGCTTGGCGCTGTGCAGTTTCCTGGGTTTCTGCGTGTCCAGCTGGTTTTGAGGCTCATCCCATCCCAGTTACACCTTCAGGTGTTTAACACGCTGGGGAGTTCTCAGGGTGGCTGTCAAAGTCGTGTAGTGAATGAATAGATTTAAATCTGAGCCACCGCTTCTTTTGCAAAGCCTGATAGTCAGAGTGACCACGTTTAGTTTCTTCAATTTATTCCTCGATGAATTCAGAGTTGCCCCATTCCAGCCCCAAAGGAGCCTGATTCTGAGAGTGAAAACAAACGTTTCAGCTGCCAAGTTTGCAACCCGCTTTTGGTGTTGCCCCACCTGGGGGATGCAGGACACGCTGCTGCCTGCTTTGTTTCTGAGGTGTTCAAAACAAAAGGGGTGTAAGGAGAGGTGAAAAAAGGTACATGCTGACACCTATCAGTTTTAAAGATGATTAGTGCTAACCAATTCTGGCTGAAACATTAGTATTTGCTTTAGATAGGAGGAAGAAAAGGCATTATACTCTAAGGATCCAGAATTTGAGTAGTTTGTCTGAAAGAGTTAACACAGCAGACCTTTGAAGGAGGCCCTTTACAAACGTAACTTTACCTGGCACCTTACAAGGTCAGTCCATGCCAAGCATGCCAGGCCTTTGTGCTGCTCTTCCTAGAGCATTAGAAAGAGTTGCACCACTGTGATATCCCACTCTGTGATACCTAGGAGCAAATGTGACTGCTGGTTCAGTGTTTGACATCATACATCCCTTAGCAGAAGTGCAACTTGGGGATGGAAAAAGCAGAGAGATTGAGGAACCTCGTGTATTTTAAACCCTCTGAATTTTCCCAGCTTATGTTGATATGCATTCAAAATCTGGGGCTTTGATTTGCTTCACCTCATGGTGCTTGACAGCACTGCTTCACCAAGACTACAGCATGGACAGTCTTGAACCTCATTGTGCTGCGCTGTGCTTAGGATGTGTTTTCTCATCTGTTGAGCTGTTGGGTATTTAGTTGACTGTTTGGTATTTCAGCACAAGAGGAGAAAAAAAAAGTAAGATATGGATAGTTGTGGTTCTTACATAAACTAAATACAGAAACAAAAATAACTTTTAAAACTTGATCTGACTCAGAAAGTTGGTGAATGAAAGCATGGCATGGATTCTGAATCTTTACCTGGCAGAGCTATTTCAGTTATTCAGAGTTTATAAGTACCACACTGAATATGGTGGCTGGAGAAATCTTATTTTCCTGCCTGTTTTCCTTGGACTCTGGGTGCTCATTTCTAATATTAGAGCATAATTTGCTGCCACCTCAGAGCTGCTAAGACCAGTGTTTGCACAGGAATTTCAGTCTGTACTCAACGATGCCCCATGATCTGGATCGAAATAACCCTTCCAAAAATGATTCTATTTAGTGTGGATCATTTCACAGGAGCGAGGTGATGGGAGCAGAAGCACTGAGTATTTCTTAGCTCATATTTATCATTGAGTGTGATGTATTGTGAAGCTACGCCCAGAGAAATGGGGCCAAGAAAGCAGCCATGTTTTCCATCTGGAACATCTGCTCTCCATTCATCACTGTTGTGCTGTGTTGTTCCTGAGTTTTCTACCCCTCGTGGTGGCATTTCATCTAGACAGTTTCTGGAGTGCTACAGGTACAAAAGCTTTCTGTAGTGAAAAGGAATAATGTATATTCATAGCTCATGAATCCCCTTAAATCGGGAAGTGGGAATTGGAGTTTAAAATGACTTTTATGCTATAGGCTGTGGAGACACAGGGAAGAGAGCTGTGTCCTGCTAGGCAAAGGAGCTGGACCTGTGTGATTAAAGACCTCTCTATCCCCGGTGCATCATGGAGCAGCGAGGGGTATCTGGAGTAAGCAGAAAGGAAACAAAACCATTGAGAAGATGGAATATTGGAAAAGCCAGCCAGTGCTGACACAGGGGAGGCAGCTTCAGGAGATCTAAGCAGTGCTTCACTTTGCATCTGGAAACAGCTGGTGCCAGGGGAAACAAAGGCAAGCCAGAAATTGTCTGTCTTCTGACTACCGAAACTTTTCATATATTGTATGGGTTTTCAGTTAATTCAGGAATAGGAGGTTGTGAAAGTGGTTTGCCAGAATTTGAGAAGTGTTTTGCGCTATATAAAAATGAAACATATGAGAGACATCACTTTTTCCAGAAAGCACAAGGGGAAATTAAGACCAAAGCAGTGCACATGAGTGATAAGGGAATGAAGAGCCTTTAGTTGCAACGTGTAGAAAGGAAACTGAATCTCAATTTTGAAAAAAAAGTAAAAAATGGAGGCATAAAGAAAACTGAACTGGGATGTGAACGAAGGTGATATCTGAGATGTAGCGTGCCCATGAGAAGACCTGCAGGCTGCAGTGGGAGCCCAGGAAAAGAGCTGGGATGGAGGGCAGGCAGAGTGAGGATCAGCCAGGAGATGCCATCTTGCTGTACAGGCCATGACAACCAGCACCAACCAGAGCAGGATCTGGAGCACCACCACAAGGGATTACTCCACCACCATTTGCTTAGGTTTGTTTTCATGCTTGCAGCCAATGACCTCTGGGACTGACACCCACAAGAATGGAAGTGTGCTGGCATAAAACGGGCTGCTAGCATGCTGTGTGGTTTGCTAAGTAAAGGAGTGTGAGGATTAGATGTGTGAGTCAATAACAAACAAGAAAATGGAGGTATTTGTAATAGAATGAAAATAAAGGGTACACCTTTACGCAACAGGGGTGTGTCAAGCCCTCAGTAGTATTACATGTGTGCCCATTGAAGACTGACACGTTCTCAGGCAGCATTGTGGTTAGGTCAAGCCAGGAACTGAATTTTGCAGAGAGGTTCGGGTCAGCTTGGGTTCATAATTCCTGCACTTAAGTAAGCTGCTGTGATAAATCTGTGTGATAGAAATAACACGTGGAAAGTGGATTTGGTGTGAATGGACACAGCAAAATCATCACCGACATCTACCCTAAAAGGCAGTGCGCTGTGGGAGCAGAGAGCATGCAGCATTATTTGTGCTGAATCAAGATGCTCACAGTGGTAACTTAAATTTGCTGCTGAGAAAAGATGTGCAAGGAATGCAGTCCTCATCAACTGTGCCAAGAAACCAAAGGAAGTAAAGGTGCTGTGCCTGCCAAGTTAATGTATTGTTGCCGTCTTGTTGCCACACTGAGGTCATATCTGGTACTGGTGATCTAACAATCACAGTCATTAACAAAACCCATGTTCAGAGCTGGAAAAATTTTCACGTTTGTTGATGAGATGTGGATCTGAGCTCCATTGGCTGTTTCATGTTACTACTGCTGAAAGAAGGCATAGAGCCTCTTTCTCATCCTTGCTTCTCCATGTCCATAACCATTCTTTTCTTTCCCCGTGTTGAAAATTTATCCCTTGTCATTGGAGTGCACAGCTGGGAGAGGTTTTGGAGTTGCAGATATTTGGCAAATACAGCAAGGTGCGAGTTTAGCGGTGTACCTGTACCAAATGCTCATGGGCACAGTGCTAACTATAGGGTCTGCAGATCCTGGAGCTCCAGGAAAGCCAGTGTCTTCACTTCTGGATGCGTGGGGAGCAAGCCTCATCTTCGCACCAGCCTATAGGGAGCTCTCAGTGCTAGCAAGCAAGTTTTGGTAAGGGATGATACTAATCGTCCTGAAACACGATGGAAAAATATGTTGCAAATGACAAAGTAAGGTCAGCTAGGGATAAGAAGGCATATCTCAGGCTGCTAAAAATAGCTGTTTTCACATCTGGGAAAGAGAATCCCAGAGTGGTTTGGATTGAAAGGGATCGTAAAGAGCATCCAGTTCCAACCCCCTGCCATGAGCAGGGGCATCTTCCAGTCATCCACGATGCCCAAAGTCCCAGCCACAGAGTCATTGGATGGATTTATCTACACAGAAAGCATAGAATAGAACATCCACACAGAAAAGCAGATGCGATAAGTGCAGAGTTTTTCTTAAGGTTTAACTCCATTTTAAGGAAAAGATGCGAAGGTTATGTCCGCACCAGGCACAGCCCAGGGATATCAGCAGTGCTCTGGGGCAGTGGTACGGGCTGTGTTTCAAAGTGTTTGTTTCCAGCATAGGTTATCTGCTACGCTTGTTTCCTTAGACAGCCCTACTCTGGCACTGCTAGGATAGGATTTTAAATAAGAGAATTAAATTCAGTATGTTTTGTTTCTGTTGGTACAGTATGTATGTCTGCAAGTTATCCTGCTTGCTTTTGTTAGTGTTCTCTATCCGGAACTTTTATTTTTCCTGCATGAAATATGATCAGTGTCACAGTGCAAATACTTGTTTCTGCCTCCTAGAAAACTTGTTTCAGATAAATCACGATTCCCCCTTCACATCTCACCTTGGCTCTGCTGTCCTGTTAAGCAGTGACATGGCATTCCTGTTGCTTCAGGCATGCTGGGCTCTGCTGGCTTTTCCCATGCTGGTGTCCAGCACCAAAGGACCTTTAAAGTCCTCCCAGTGAACAGAACACCAGAAGTTTAATTACCAATAGACTGCTCTTCAGGGAGGTTGATCTTGCTCTGGGTAGATGCCCTGTTTCTCTGCACCTAAAGCACAAGCCTTGGGAGGGGACTTCTCCCTTTCACATAGAACCAAAGTAGCAGGAATGTTTTTTTCAGACCCATTCCTTTTAAAGAGACCAAAATCCCCGAGGTAAAGCAGTTCACTCTGAGGAAGTGCAGCCCACAGACCTGAGATGGTTTTGCCTTTAAAATGCGCCAGAATGTGGTGTGTGTCTCACGTTGTGCCATGCTGTGGGGAAGAAACCGCTGTGAATTACCTTCTCTTTTGTCTTACAGAAATTCCATGGAGTTGGACTAAAATAAAGTTTTGGGATGTCTCTGTTCGGATTAAAATTTGGAAAGAAGAAACTGAAAGGTGAGTGAGGTCTGGCAATGCCTTTTAGGTAAGGAATGTAAATCCAGCACACGTATGAGTGCGCCTGGGAGCGTGGCTTACAGCTGCAGTGCAGGTGGAGGAGGACGCCGGTCTGTTTGCTCTTCCTGCATTTTATACTGCCCTGGGGAAGTGCTGTGTGCCAGTGAGCAGGAGGAGATCGGCATGAGAACAAGCTGCAAAGTTAGCAGGCTGTGATGGCCTGGGGAGGTCTGGATTGTGATGTTCTTTCCACCTAGGTCTCTTGGGGAGGTGCAGAGGAGCAGTGGCTGTGCGGTTTGCTGCTCTGATAGTCCCACAGGAGGAGGTGGTGGATCCCAGGGGAGACTCTGCCAGCTCCAGGCCTTCTTCCTTCCTGGCTTTGGAAGGCAGAATAAATTGGTCTGTGAGCCTCTGTCCACCCAGGGCACCAGGAGCTGGTAGACTCACCATCCTCGATCAAGAGCTGTGGAGATACTGCACTGAGAGGCATGATTTAGAGTGGCCAGAGGTGCGGGTTGATGGTTGGACTGGATGATCTTGGTGGTCTTTCCAACCTTTCTATGATTCTGTGATTCAGATGAGGCTCTTCTGCAGGGAACACCCCACACACTGGGGGTCTAGAAATCATACAATCTGCGTGTCATAAAATCACAGAAACACAGAATCATAGAATGGCTTGGGTTGGAAGGGACCTTACATATCATCTAATTCCAGTCCCTGTCATATCAGGCACAAACAAAAAAGTTGTTGGAGGAAACCAGTTCCTAAGATGTCAGCATTAGTTAGGTTCTTCAAGTCAAAGTGGACTACATCTCTTGGTAAGCAGTGGTGTTTCCATGGAAACAGTATCTGTGAGGTCTTTTTCAGTGCAACTTGACTTGCAATGAGCATTTCCTAAGGTAAGAGTAGAGGGAAAACTTCTGGTTCAGAGTGTCTGTGAAGAAATAAGGATCAAGCCTTGGCAATGGCTGAGAAATGGGGAAAATCTCTGCTCACTGGGTTGTTCCCGTGGCAGTAGAACTCAGCATTGGTGCTTTGTACCTTGAGGATGGAGGTGGTCAGGTGCCATCTATTAAACGTACAGAAATAGAGAACAGGGAAAACTCATGTCCACAAGTGCCCTGAACCCAACATGCATAGCAAAGAGTATGCAGTTTGCACATTTTGAAGAATTTGAAGACAAAATGGAATCATTGCTGCAGCTTCATGTCTATCAACCCAGCCTAGGGGCACAGTGAGAGGAAGAGGAAGGGCTTAAATTGAGACAAGGCTTTTGGAAAACTGCACCGGGCTTTCCTTCTTGCTGCTGAGGGACAGGTGGTTTTTGAGCAGCTGAGGTCTGGGCTCAGCTGACACGAGCAGCTCTTGAGGGAGAGTACAGCCCAAGACTCACTCCATGGGCCTAAAGCTTGGCTGACCTTTGGGACTCCCATTAATATCCAGCAGGAAAAATAACAACAGACACCAAGCATGAAAAATATATTTATTTGGACACAATTTCCCATTAGGAAAATAACTGTGAATTGAAAAGCTTCTCAAAGTTTGTTTCAGATCTGTATTTATTTTTATGATATTGTATCACTTCCTATCACTGTGTATTGCTGTTATTGACAGCGTGTGCAATTGTGTCAAGCTGTGGCACATGTCTGAGGTAAAGTTTTCTAGTAAAGGATGTGATATGTGCCAGCCAGTCACTGTCAGACTGGTTTTTCAAAATGAAGCTGCTTTATTTACCATGCTGAGTGGCCAAATGATTTTGAATGAGTACTACTCAAAACAGGATACGAAGGAAAATCTAAGCCAAATAAAATAAAATTTCCAAATTTATTATTATTTTTTTTTTCCAAAATGAAGATGACACGATTTTCGCTGCTGAAATATTTGAATATTGTTATTTTTCATTCTGAAACGGGCTGACAACATGTGAGAAATGCAAATGCTACTTGAGAAATAATCTGTTGCATTTCTGAGAGCTGGAGAGCCCCAGCCCTTGCCCAGAGCCAAGGCAGGTGGGTGAGACATCGCAGGAGGAGGAAGGGAGGAAGGGAGGGAAGAATCAGAGCTGGCAGTAGGGCAGGAGCTGGGGGAAGGGAGAGGAGAGGTACACTCCATCCCTTCCCAGAAAGACCTCGTAGGGAATGCTTTCTCTTTTAAGGTTATCCAGCACCTCTCCCAGGCCTGGGTCCTCCCAGAAGTCCTGTTTGACACGAGTGTAAACATGGTGGGCAAACAAAGGCGTCCTTTTGGAGCCCGTCCTTGTTCTTCTTTCCTTATGGTGATAATATCAAATGCTGTTTCTAGAAAAGGGCAGGACCCAGTGTTGAACTTTAGCATTGTGTTAAACATTTACTGGACTTCAAGCGGAAATAATTCCAGTTCATCCTTGAAATTTTTAATTTCAGACCTTGTATCTGCTGTATGAAAATTGAGGTCTCTCATAAGTGGGTCTTCTGTTAGTGAAGACCCACTTAAGAAAAAAAAAGCATCTTTCCATAATAATTTGTGCAGAAACACATGAAATATTTCACCTGTACTGGCAAATTCCAGTTGCTGTGCTCCACTGTGCCCACGAAACCCGATCCATTAACACAAATGTGTATTTCTTGCATTTAATTTCCTCAGGAGGAACGAGTATTCTCGTTATTCTGAGAAAAAAATGATACGATAGAGAAGACCTTTATTTAATAATGGAGGAAAAGGCAGGAGGGAATAGGCTAATTATGTTTATGATGTTGTTTCTGAATGGCCTTGCTTTCAGATTTCTAGATTAAATTCCTCACACTCAGTACAAACTATCCATTTCAGAGATGAAAAGGCGCCAGCATCCAGCCAGAGAAGCTCTGCAGAGGAAGGGGTATCTGCATTTTCAAACCATGCAATTTTATAACACAGAGCCCTTGAGAGCCCTTCCTTCTAGTCAGTAGTGAGAATACCTTCGTTTACCTTGCAGTTGGGCTTGTGCCCGCCCCAGGCAGGTCTGGGCTATAATCCTTACCTCTCCCATTTCCGTCCCACCTGGCTCGTATCTCTCCTCCAGCTGCATGCACATGGCTGCACCATGATAGAGCCAAGGATGCTCTTTGGTTTTGTGGCATGGAGTTGGCATGCCAGCCCTGGGAACCTTATGGTGTTATGCTGATACTCAGACTAAATTTATTAACGTTGGAAAAGTCCTCAAAGATCATCTAGTCCAACCACCAGCCCAGCTCCACCATGCCCACTAACCCAGTGCCACATCTTCTCGATTCCTGAACACCTCCAGGGACAGCAACTCCACCAGCTCCCTGGGCAGCCTGTGCCAGTACCTGACCAGTCTTTCTGAGAAGAAGTTTTACCTAATATCCAATCTGAACCTACCCTGGTGCAACTTAACTGCCTTAAGTTTCAGCTTTTATCTGCATCTCAGACCAGCTGTGTGATGTATATGTAGATGTTGTAGAGTGTAAGCCTCAAACTCATCATGCAGTGCTTCCCTTCATCCATCTACTCTCTGATTTGTATTAAATCATTGAACTTGTTGGGTCAAGAACCCTGACTTTGGTTTTGTGTAGAGCTCACTCAGGTCCCAGCAAGGTACTGCCATGTTGTAGCTTGGAATCCTGTGATGTATGCTATAGAAAACAAGCCTGTACTTTTTAATCCAGCTATAAGTACTCTGGAATGGTACTCAAGAATCTTGCTGTTTACATCCCTTCTCTCTCAAAAAGAACAATTACTGCTTTAAAGTGAAGGGATAATTTGGCTAGTAGCTTGCCTAGTAACCTCCCTAAGAGCAGCAATTTTATTTGCCTAATACACCATGTCGTGGTATGCCCTTTCCCATGACATTGTCCCTCAATGGACACTAATTTTCTTTGTTTTGGTGGGGGTACACAGGTATCGACACACTATGGCAGATTTCGTTTGATTGTGCATGTAGAGCAGCAGTCCAGAAAATATGAGAAATAATGGCAGGGGGTTCTCTGTGAAGAGATGGGCCATCTTCTGTGCGCAGGCTGCGAGGTGGCACTTGTGCCATCAGTGAGAGGTGACACTGAAAGCTGGGTCACACCACAAAGGCGTCCAAAAGTTGAGCCTTAAGGAAGACAAGATATGATGGAAGGAAGCCTCAAGTTGTACTGGGGAAGTTCAGGTTGGATTTTTGGAAAAACGTCTTCTCAGAAAAGGTGGTGAGACACTGGCACAGGCTGCCCAGGGAAGTGATGGAGTCACTGTCCCTGGAGGTCTCCAAGAACCATGGAGATGTGGAGCTGAGGGTTATGGTTATGGTTAACCATAGTTAGTGAGCATGGTGGGAATGAGTTGGGGTTGGACTAGATGATCTTAGAGGTGATCCTCAGTGATTTTATCATTCTCCATTGCAAGTCTTGAAAACAAAGGTGTGCTGCAACTGGTGGGGTCTTTTAAGAGACCTGCCTACAGCCTCTTGGGGTGAGGCCTAATGGCTGCCTCCTGAAGGACTGTCCCAGGAAGATCAGATATGTGCCCTGAGGAACAAGGTAGATGAGGCTACAGCTTTCACAAGTTAGCATTGGCAAGGTGAATGGCTTTGCTGCGAGCCTTTCTCCAGGGGAAGCTGAGGAGATGAGCCCAGCTCCCAGCTGCCACTTTTTGCAGCTCATCTGGTATGATGTTTGTGCTGTTGAGGTCACTTGTTTAAAGGGTGGAGCAGAGATTTATTATTTTATAGAGTTTGTCTCAGTTCTGTTGTCAGGCTTGGTTACCCTGGCACTCCCCTAACTGGGCTGTGTTTGTTTCAAGCATGAGATATCAGGCCCTAGTTTGTATATGACTTGGCACAACCAGGCAGATCTTAACCTCCCCCCGCTCCTTAGATCCACAAGACCTAACTTCTATAAACCCTTTCCAGAAGCCTGTTTAAAGCTCTTGGCACATTCTCCTTAAGCATAAACCGGCAGCAAATTTCCAAGCTCTCTGACTAGACCTCAAAACTAACCTTCTGCAGGACTTTTCCATGCAAAAGCCCTAAATGAGAAGGCTGGTGGGCTGTCCAGTTACATTCATAGCTCATTTTTGGCATGGGTTTCATGTTATTAAATCCAGATGTTACCCTCTGGTTTAGCTCCTAAATCTGTCTGCCTGAGAAAACAGCCACTTTCCCAGTGACTTGGTCTCAGTGGTTAGACCAAGACCTGGGCACTAAGCCATATTTATGTACGCTGAGTTTCCACTGATGAATAATTTAGAATAGTTTTCAGTGGCAGTGAGATGATAACTTGGAGCACAGATCCCACTTGTTCTTTCCAGTGATTTGTAACTGCAGTTTGCAGAAGCAGAAAGTTTAAGATAGGTTGCTTAGAGAATAAAGAAAAGTTTCAAGAGCTGAAAAACTTGTCACGCAATCGCTTTTCAGATTTCCCTTCCTCTTTCCCCAATGCTTCCAGAATTACCAGTGCACGATAAGACATATGTACTTGGATCCACATCCAGAATAGTCTGAGCTGTGGTTACAGACATATCTGGGTAATGTAGACTTTCACTACTTTTTATTTACAGTAGTCATTCAAGTGTCTTCATTTCTACCCAAACAGTTACAGAAATGAGTGGGAGTTGTCTGGTCTAATATAGTGGGTTCTGATTATTATTATTATTATTATTATTATTATTATTATTATTATTATTATTCGTTTATTTATTTATTTCCAAAAATGAAATCACTGAGATGGTGCTGCCACGTGCCTCTGGTCAGTGGTCAGTGGTGGTTCTCCTTTGGACCAACTGGAGGAGGGAAAGTTTGGCTCGCTGATGTTGGATGAGGCACCCTCTGCCATTTGTGGTTGTTCTTGATTTAGCAAAGGTACTGGATGATATCCAGCAAGGAAAATGAAAATCTTTCCATTAGAAAAAGCCTTGTATTTTGGCTTTAAAGGACACTGCTTCTAGAGGGCTGATGCCTGCTAAGAGCTTGGGTCTTCTGAAAGTGAGGAGTGCCAGTATCGAGATGGATGTGCTGCAGCATGCTGTGTGCAATTGCTTGTGTCCTGGGAGAGGAATAAATACCTGCAGGACTCCAGCCTAGATTAGCAGCTCTGGATGTCTTTGTGCATCTGTCCATCACGGGATTATGCTTTCTCTGTCATCTACTTTGGTAGCAGCTGTTACTCTCAAGAAAATTCCTGAAAGGGCACCTAACACAATAGGTGTAGCCGTGTCAGCATGGACCTGCTGAGCTCTGCTTCTTTTTTCCTCTTGGGCAGTGGACGAGCAGTTTCAGTCTCTCTGCATATTTTTTTCACGCTGTGGAAGAAGATAAATATGTGTCTGAGGAAAGCAGTGAGGGATTAAGCACTTTCAGAGTCTTGAATGAAGCCTCTGTATTGGTTTGTACCACCCAGCAAGGGCAGGTGGGAGCTTTCCTGAGGGAAAAGGAAAAATACATTTACCTGCTAACATAGTAAAGAGGGCTTAAATTAGTAATTAGAGGGCTTGATGAAAACAGCCCACATGCAGAGATGAAAACTGGCGATCTGTAAAAGGGCTTAAAAAATTAGGGAAATGATGTTATTTATAGGGTTTCTGGAGGGAAAGGAGGAAGGATAGCAGTTCAGCGCCCTGAATAGCTTAGACACTTGCTAATGCAAGACTGAATAAACAGGAAGAACTAGATGTCTTAATACATCATTAATAGGTATAATAGACACGTGTTGGAACTCATGAGGCTGAAATATTAATAGAAAAGAATAAAGCTCATTCTGGAAGGATAACAGAGGTGGCAGGGGGTGAGATGTTTTCCTTGTATGTTCATGTTCTCTGAGATCCAGTGCGGAGCAGAGAAGGATAAACAAATTGCAGATCTCTGAGTAATGATAAGCAAGGGTAAAGAACATAGGCATAGTGCACCAAAAAGAGCAGACTTTGGTAGAAATTAATGTAGTTTTCTGAATGACAGGGCATGGTGTTAAATAAAGAATCCTGGTTCTGCAGATGCAGAATTGGGAAGGAACAGGGGGATGAACCATGTGTTCCTCTGCTCTTGGGCTGAGCAGGCACAGTCTGTTGGTGCTGATGTAGATGGCTTTTGGAGATGGAGAGGAATCTGTTCCAGAAGTGGTTGCCTTCAACAGGGAGGAACTGGCTGGGCAGCTTAGAGCAGGAGGTAGTATAAATGGGAATGGTGACAAAATGGCAGTGTGTTGCTTGGGAAAAAAGTTGCAACAGCAAAGTGTTTAAAATGGAATTCAAGAATGAAACCTTGGTGAATATGAAGAATTATTAACTCAGGGGAAGGAAATTTGGAAAGGAGAATTAAGCAGAGCTGTGATTTCCTTAAATAATTGATATTAAGGTCAGGAGTATAAGCTATGATGATTCAGAGAGACTCAGAAGGGTGAATGAAGAAAGTGGCGGAATCTCCTTCACCTCAGACAGAAGAAGGATGCTTCTAGAAGGTGTACAGAGTGTTGTTTTATCCAGCACAAACTGCATTGCAAAGCTCAAAGTGAAAAAGAGCTAGCGAGGGTGTAAGAGGTAATAAAAGCTGTTCTGCAGAAGCTGGGTTCTCTGGGGTTCAGTAACTCTACTAGTAGGAGGAAGATCAAAGGCATTTTTTGTCTACTGCCTATTGGAAAAAGTTGAGGAAATCATGCTAAGGAATCTGATGCATGTTTTTTCCTTAGTCAAGCACCTCACACATTAGTTGCTGCCAACAGAGGAGAAGGGGAGATGTTTGGGGCTGGAATAAAGAAGGAATGGGGCAGGTTAGTGAGGCAGATAATAGCCTGAAGCCTGCTGCCTTGGACACACTCCGGAGCAGGCAGGTATGGTTCAGAACAGTGCAAAAAGGCTTTACAGGAGGAGAAGAAAAGCTGAGCAATTATAGATATGTACGCTTCACTTCTTGGGTGAAGGTTGAAACAGTCAAACAAACCACTTCAAAGTGACTGGAAGTGTGTGGTGGAAGAGATGATTAACAGCCAGCAGTCCAGAAATACTACATCCAACACAAATTAACTCTGTGTTAGTAGTAGCCAGAGGGCTAACAAAGAAGCCTTAGATAGCTGTAATGTGTCTTGGCTGCTATCTGTGGCATTTGTACAAGTAAGCTGGAAATACATGCATGAGAGAAAATCAGTGTAGGCCAATTGCCAACATTTTTGAGAAAATAATACACTAAGAATAGTTATCAATGACTGATAATCAAACTCAAGAGTCATCATGGATGATGTATTCTGCATCTGGTGTTCAGTATTTTGTTTTCCTGCTTGGCTAGCAGTCTGAAGAGCACAGTTAATAAATCTGCTTCTGGCAGGAGTTACAGCACACTGAAAGATAGGAGAAGAATTGACTAACTGGAGGAATAGTCTGAAGAAGTTTGCATGCATTTCAGTAGGGATAAATCAAGGGTTGGTGTTGCCTGATGAGGCGTCAATTGTGCCAGAAGGGATCAGCCCCAATGGGTCATATTCTGGCCCGTACATTGTATACCAAGTGCTGGTGGTGCAAAAGGATACTATTTTGAATAGCTTCAAGGTGGTTTTCCATTTAAAATACTAATTGTCAGAAAGGCAGGTAGGGTTCCCTTCTAATCTGCTCTGCTGTGGTAAGGCTGTAGCTGCAAACTAAGGCTCATTTTGGGTTCTGTGCTTCCAGAATGAGGTTAACTAGCTGGAAAGTCCACTGGAAAGCGACAAGAATGGTGCCATTCTGGACAGATCAAACTGTAAGAACTGACTAAAGATAAGAATTGTGTTTTCTTTCCAAGGATAAACTGCAGCAAGGCTGAGCAGCCTTCACTGCATCATGAACTCATCTGGGCTCTGTGTCCTTGACCAGTAGCACAAGGAAATGACAGGGAGCAGAAGAACGCCTTTGATCATCCCAGGAGAAGACACAATTTGTTTAAACTGAAATAATAAGTCTTACATTAGACAATGGGAAAAAAACTTCCCCCTGGGAAAGACAGCACAGTCCTGGAATAGGCAATTGGAAAAATAGCTGTCACCGAAGCTTTCTAGAACTTTGGTTGAGAGTGACAGGCACAACCATCTCTTCAGATAAAGAGTAGATTTGGTGACCTCTTGAAATCCCTTCCAGTGGTTTTTGGTTTCAGGATAGGTGCAGTGGTGATGTCCAATTGTGGGGTGATGCGAGAATGTGCATTTCTAGTAGAAGAATGGCACTAACAGTAGGCCCATAGAAACAGCTTCACAAATATCAAGGGCAAGATACGGAGCAGAACAGGGATAGTGAACAGCTCCAGCTAAACGTTGATTCCTGGCAGGAGATGAGCAACCTGTGCACACAAATTGTTCTGTCAATACTGGAAGTCTCTCCAATTCCCTAACATGGGACATTTAGAACACAGCACAGATTCCAGGTGATATCACCTGCTAGCAGCTCCACCTGCTCTTTCTGATGCTTCATTCATGCTTGTATTGATTCTGCCTACCTTCAAGCACGTCTGATGTGACTCTTCTTCTTTGCAGAGGAAGAGAGACACCTTCAAGCAAACAACCGAAATTTTAACCTACAGTTTGAATATGCTGTAAGTACCCAGAAAATGTTGTTTGTTGCAGCTGTAGCCACAGATGCTGTTGAACGTGTTTCATGCCCACACACCATAAGGACTCATCTTCAGTTTACTGTTACGAGGGCACGGCATGGGTGAACTGGATCTATGACTCGGCAGAAAATAAATCTAGGGAATTAATTCCGTGGGCTTCCCAGAAAGACTTGGGCAAGGCTTGTTTCTGTGTTTTGTGGTGAAACAGGAGGACAGAAGTGCCACAGAACACGTCAGAGGATGGTTCACTGCTGAGTCACCCATGCAGCTCAGCCTGCAAATGGTGGTCAAAGGAGACCTAATGCTAGAAAAGCACATAAGTGACCTTATATATTTCCAGAAATTTTTTTGAGAGCCTCACGTTTGCAGGATCAGGCCTCCAAGGTCTTTCAGTAAGGGAACCTGTGGGGGAAATTTCTGTTGGAAACGTGGCTCCATTTAAAGTAAAACATGAAAGGAAATGTGTCAGTTCCTCAGCTCTGGCAGTGAAATCCTCTCTGGCAGGAAGGTTTTGAATCTGGCCTTCATGGCTTCCTGCCAGCTTTTATTTCCATCTTCTTCACAGCCTTGCTGGCCTCGCATTGTGCCATGAAGTCTGTGACTCCAAGAAGCACCATGAGACGTGCTGCCCATCACTCAGCTCTGCCAGGCAGCCCCCTGGGCAGCTCAATTCCCAAAGATGGGGACTGTTTGTATTCCCTGTGTGCAGAGAAGGACTAGATCTGCTGGTAGAGCCATATTGCTTGGCTGCAGGGTCATCTCCTGGCTGGGCAATCCTGAAGATGTACTTGTTCAAAGTTACGTACAGCTGCCAACTTATATTGCAGTGAATTTTGTGATTTTTTGTCTTTTGTGTCTCTGAATTGCAGCAATGAAATTCATCCTTCATTTTACTCAGGTGCTCATTTGAATCATGCTTTGTTTAGGCACGTCGTCAGTGTTCTCTTGGTCCTTTCATAACTGGAAAACCTCAACATTTCAATATATTGTGATTCTTTATAAGATAGAAACTTAGACTTGCCATTAGCTTTGACTAAAGATCTTAACGTAGCTGATCTGTTGGCAACATCAACTGGTAATCAGCTTTCATCCATGAGCTACACAGGTTAGAGCCTTGCTAAGTACAGCGCTGCTGCATGAGTACTGAACATGAAATGCGTTGTAAATAATGTATATAAAAGACCGTGCAGCACAAATGCTATATCAAGCCTGGTTGAGACGCATAGAGCCTACAATTAGAGTTCTGTGGTGAGCGTTGCTGCTATGAGTGTGTTTAAGATCTTTCATTGGTTGATTGCAGCGCGGAGTCTGAGCGGCAGTGGGACAGGGAGGTAGGAGGGAGGTGTACAATGATGTCAGAACAGAGAGAACAAACAACTCTCCTGGCACTGAGTCTATTTTTTGAAAAGACACTCACAAAGATAACTACATGTCACTGCCTCCCAGCTTATTTCTTATGTAGCCAAGGATCTGCAAATAACCAAAATCAAGGAGAGGGCTGTGAGAGATCTGGAGGGTTTCTGTAAGAGTCTATTGATTGGGTGTGAAAGTGCAGGCAGCCAGAGGGCCAGCTGTTAAATCTTGGCGATGAGTTTCAGTAATCGTACCCCTCAATTTAGTCACCTGTGGCCAATGATTTTTGGAGCCCAGTGTGGACTGAGACGTAGAAATTCTAGAAAACTGCCCAGAAAAAGACAAATCTTGAGTAGGTGAGTGGGCGGTGACGTACTAAAATACTTCAAGCAGCAATGCAAGCACTCATTGCTGTTTGGGCTGAACACCATGTCCTTGGCTGCTTATTTCCATTAATTCTGATGAAAGGTCCATTTATAAAGCTACATTTCCATGCTTTATGAAAGTTACTAACCTTGCTTGTAAGTTGGTCCCATCCTGTAAATTGCTGGGTACTTCTGGAAATGCTAAAAGGAGAAAGAATCTCCCAATGCATTGGCATATGCATGATACTCTACCCGTGTTACACTCCATTTGAAGGGCTAAATCTGGGTCCCTTCCTCATATTCATATTTCTGGAAGTGATGTGGAGATGCACTGCTGAGCACTAGGATGTGGTCCAGCAGAACCAAGACAGTCCAGACTCTGGACCTCAGTGCATATGAAACTACATTCTATGAATGGAGACCCTGGGCAGAAACAAGAAGGAAACGCAGCAATGTAACAAGACCTAGAAAGCATTCTGAACAATGAAAGCCACAGGGATAAAGTTTATTTTCTTGGTAACTTAAAGCCATGTTATCCATAAAACCTATAGAACAGGTTCCTGTAAGAAAGCTAGGTGAGGCAGTAAATGTTTCTCCAGGGTGAGGCAGCTGCTGAGAAAGGCCAGTGAGAAGAAAGGGAAATGCAAACAGAGGCGTAGTGTTTTGCTTTATTACTGCAGCCAGGCTGTGTGTCACAGCTGGTGTGCAGGTTTCAGCCTTTTACTAAAAAGAGAGTTCTTTTGTGTAGGCATGGATGAAAGGGACAGAGCTGCTGGTGAGAACAGGGAAGTGGGCACGTACAGTCGGGTGAGTGTTCTGGCCCTGAGCCATTTGTAGTTATCTTCCCTTTGCGGTACAAAGTCTACAGGATATCTGTGAAGGAAGAAATGGGGAGGGGAAAAAAAACCTGAAAAATCCTTTGTGTGTGTGGAGGGTGACATCAGCTCTGGCAGTTGCTGGATATGAAGCAATTCTTGAAAACTCTCAAACCAGCTTTGCAGGAATATAATGCTTCACCACAGAAAATGATGCTTGCCAATTCGTGCAAGGGCATGCCCAGATCCATCACACTTCGATTTGCAGGAGAATCCAGAGGACAGATTTGCTTCTGGGGCTCAGCAGAAAACTTTCTAAAGGCAAAAAGCAGTGTGTCTCAGAGACGTCACTCCATCTGCAGAGCCCCTTATCTGAGCACCAGCAGGGCACAGGGGATGGGCAGCTGAACTGAAGGGGTAGAGAAGGGAATATGCAGTGCACTGGTAGAAATCACCTTACCGTGGAGGCAGAGGGGCAGTTCCAGAAGAGGAGCTGAAGGACTGTCCCCACATAGGCCACGTGCTGTGAAATGTGTCCTACAGTCAGCTGGAAATGGGGTGGTCTCATTGATCCATCTGAGCGGAGTCTTGGCTGAGATGGAGTCAAGGGAAATATCTCTGACCTGATGGTGCTTCCTAGGTGTCTGCTGATGATTATTCATAGTATCACAGAATCAATAAGGTTGGAAAAGTCCTCTAAGATCATCCAGTCCAACCGCCAACCCATCCCCACCACGTCCCTCAGTGCCATACCTCCACGGTTCTTGGACACCTCCAGGTGCAGTGACACCGCCACTTCCCTGGGCAGCCTTAGCAAGGCATCATTGCTCTTTTGGAGAAGTTTTTCCCAGTGTCCAACATGATTCGCTTTGATTAAGGGCAACGTTTTCTAGTGATGGCTCTGGGTAGGTCAGGATTTAGTTGGGTCAGTGTGAAGCTGAAACCAATGTTCTCAGAGCGGTGCAGCCCCAAACGCCCTTGGCTTTATGCTGCTGCACAGCAGGAACACGGTAGCTTAGGAAAATAAACCAACCTTCAGTACAAAGTGTTGTGCAGTTAACTGGAAGGGCTGAGTGTGAAGGTACATACTACCCACCAGCTCACAAAATTAGTTAGGAATGAGTCAGAAACGAAGCAGGAAGGGGTGACATGCAAAGACACTTATTGCAGCACAGAAACGGACCCAATATAGGTCTGTAAATACAAAAAGTTAACTCCTAATCCTGTATTTATTCACACCTCCGACAGGCAGATCCTTCCTGACTTCTGCAAGAGGTTTGCCTGTTTTGAAGGCTGAAACGAAGTGAAAAGCAAGATGCCAGAAGTGTTCCATTGAGGTTTAGGGGGTTCTGTTGTGATTTCTGTGATGCAATCTGGCTGCTGTGTCCTGAGCACCGCTGCGATGGGGACCCACCACTGTGGGACATCCCTGAACCTCTCTGTCCATGGACACTGTGGAGAGGAAAATCTCTTCTGAGGGTATTCGATGTTTGCTTAGATTCCCATTCCCTTTTATTTCTTCGCTTTCACGTTGGAATTCAGCACAGCTGCAGTAGGACGTCATGAAGGGCTGTGAAAACAACTTTGAAATTGGCTTTCAGACAATAGGAGAGGAAATGCAGGACCCATGAGTCAATGACAGATTTCATCTTGGATCAGGATCTAGGGTCAAGCCAGCATCCTTTCCGCAGGGCCAGCAGCGAGGAGGCTGCTTGGGCTCTTTTTGTTTTCCCTGGTCACCTAATGAATTCTCCAGTGAAACAAGGAGGAGGAAAATAACCTCCTATCGCCGCTGCAAATTGGCTGGGGCTGGAGGAGCAGACAGGTTCTTATCCCTTCGAAATTTGGGAGATCAAGGAACTGGGGCATTGGGCTCAGATTCTGATCCATCTCCTGTGCTTTTGTGCTAACATCTGAAGATGCCCAGAGGGTTATCCTCAGGGATGTTGTGACCTGGTAGACTACCCTTTGATCACATCCCAAACCTGCCCGTGTTTGCCCCTGTTTGTCTTGCCTGAGGCTGAAGGGAGTGTATCCTGGTGATGTGCAAAGTGGTCTGAGTAGTTCCTGAAGGAGGAACAACAGCAGCATCCTGCATTACTCTTTTTGCCATTAGTAAGGTGCAAGCTGGATCCATGTACAGATCCATTGGTTTGCACTGCAGGGAACAGCTCCAGCCAGGGTGCAGCCCCATGGGAAGGGACCAGCTGGGACCTGGAGGTCCTCTGATGCATGTTCATGTGTCCTCACTGACAAAAGTGCAATCCTGCTGCATGGAGACAGTCTCAGTCAAGATGAGGTGAAGATCCAGGTCCAAGGTCCATTTAGGGAACCCAGAAGCAGCACGGTCCATTAGGGAAGCCAGAAGCAACAGATGAACTGGAGAAGGCTAGCAAGACCATACCGTGGGTCTGAAGCCCATTGACAGGCCATGCCACCTCTGTTTGCACACCTCTGCACTACTGTGATAAGGGCGCTTGCCACAGCGATGGTACTCTGAGTAACAGCTCTGTCATGCATGGGATGTCTGCAGGCAGAAGGAAGGGAAACAGTGCTCACTGAGCGTATGTTCCTAGAGATTTTCCTGGAATACTGAATGTGTGACTCGATCCTGGAAGTCAGTTTATTATTAGTTGCAAGAGGCAGAGGGGGGCAAGGGGCTGTATAGGTAATAATTTCTTGAAGTTGTTACAAAGAAAAGAAACAAAAAAAAAATGTGGGTTAAATATAAGTCTTTCTGTTTCTGGTATTTGGCCAGCCTTTCATTTCTGTGGGTAGACTTTTTACTTCTCTATGAGGTCCTTACAGGCACGTGGTGATGCCTATTGACTTACTGAAGCCCTTTCTCAGTCTCCTGTTAAGCTGGGGCTGCTGCCCACTGTTGTGAAAGAGGCAGTGAACTTGGTAGGCTAAAACAGAGCTCATGTGGCTATCCTGTCTTCTCTATGAAAGCAGAGCCTCAGTGACACCACATGCCCTGTTTCACAAGTTTATCAAATATGTCTTTGAGCACGTTAACAGTACGAGGGCCACATTTTTGCATATGGTATGTGCATGCTTCCAAAATGCACTCCTGCAGGTGAACAGAATGCCACTGAATTTCACCCCTGCCATCTCCTCACAAGGCTTTATCAGATCATGTGGGAAGGCTGCTCCTGCTTCTCAGCTGCTTCCCTGCACTGAACCCTGTGCTACACTTCACCATAAGACAGCCAAGTTTTCTGCAAGATTTGTTTTGGGCAAGTTTATACAGTTGCTAGAAAACAATATATGACTGAGCTAAGGGTATAAATTCAGGTGGACAATACCATACCCTGCCTTTGCTGGCAGTCCGCCTTTAGTCCCTGTAATATGACCAGAAAAGCAGCAGTATCTCCTATTTCCACTGGCTTTCACAGCGCGGAGGTGACATGTTTGTTCTGCGAACAAAGGCAGGAGCCATCTGCTGAGCGTCTGCCCGTGGCCTGACGTCAGAGGCAGGCTTCTGAAAACACCCCCGAAGCAACAGCTCATCTGCCAGATCTGGACGTGTGTAACCGCGGTGCTATGAGCACTATTCTTAGGGACAGCATCTCGGTGGAGTCACACCTTCAGGAGGTGTGATTGAGCCCCTGAAAAGAGCAGATGAGACTCATCTCTCGCCCACAGGCTCTGGTGTCAAGCTTTGCATCTGGAGAGCCTGGGGCTGGCTAACTGTGCTGAGTCCTCCTGGATGCAGGCACATGGAGGGGCAGAATCAAGGATTTGGTTCTTGGCCTACAGAGCGGCTTTTTGTGAATATTTGATTCTTGTAATTCTGTAGAAGGAGGAGCTCCCGAAGGATCTCTTCACAGTTACTGCTCAGAAACTTTTCCTCTCCATCACTTGTCCCACATGTGTCGTCCTCCCTAAAGGTAGGGCATGGGTGAGGATAATGCTCCAATGCTCTTCAGGCATTGCTCATAAAATACTGACTATGCATGGACTGCTTAACACACTGCATGAGTCTGTAGCACCCATCCCAGAGTCAGGGTGTGAAGCAGCTCTGGTTGCGTGGTATCAGGCACCATGGACTAGAACAAGGTCTAGAGCAATGCCCAGTGAAAGCTTCCCTGTAGCCAACCAAAAGCCCAAGGTGTCAAAGTACGCAGTGCAGGAATATTTCAGGGTAACATGGTAATGATCCCACACACAGAGCTTCAGTTTTCTCCTTGAAATGGGAGTGCAGAGATTTCAGGTGGAAAGGCTGAGGTTTTGCTTCTGATGTTTGGGTTTAATTCTAGATTTCAGAACAATGAGAAGCTCCATTCTGACACTACCTGTCTTCCTCCTGAGCCATATAGTGTGCCAGTGTTCCCAAACCAGCACATAACAAACAATATTGCTATCTTCAGCTACTGTGGAGACAAACGTGGATGCTCAGATCCCAGCAGTTGAGCATGTGGAAATTGTTTGTTCTGGGCGTTTTAATATGCCTAATGGCAATAGGAAACACAGTGAATGTCTGGTTCATTCAGTGGTTTTCCTGATGTAATTAATGGACAGAAATAGAAGGCAGGAATTGAAATAAACCGCTCCCATTCTTTTCCTATTCACCTCTGAGATTTTTGCAGGCAAAGTCCTTTAAACTTTGTGTGAGTGTTTACAGAGCAGTTTTTCCCATGTTGTATGTGACCCTGTGAGATCTGGTGACGCATGAGGGTCAAGTCCCTTATACAGACTTCTTCCCGTAGATGCTGTCTTCTCTTTTTTAAGTGTCAGTGATATTTTTCTTCAGTTTGTTGGATGTCTTTAGATCCAGATTTTGTTTAGAAATATGCCAGACGCTTTCTGGTGGACACAGACTTGTCAAGCAAGTCATTTAATTCTTGGAATCTGTTGTATGCATAGGGTGCTGCTGTTGCATTTTGTCTTGTTTTAGCAGTGCCCATTCCATGGAGCCTGTTTGCAGTACATCTCCTCTGCAGAGGAGTTCTGATGTGATCCAAATTTAAGGAAGTGTCAAGATATTTAGGTCGTAGGCAAAATTAACCACACCTGTAGATGACTAGTTGATGCCAAGAGATGGGCAATATTATTTTATATGAGGATGGCTGGTACTCATCTCTTGAGCCCATCTCTTGAGCTCTTCTATGAAGGACATTTCCATCTTCGGTCTTTTTGAGGCTTGTTCATTGGCTTGTACAAAAGGATAAAACATAAAGTTAATGCTGAATAATGTTGCTGTACTTTGTGTACTTTCTGGAACATAGTCAGAAATCCAGCAGCTGCCTAAGATCAGATGGATACCCCCTCGCACACCTCACAGTGAAGTTCATAATTGATTTAATGGTGGAAACATGCTGCTGTGAGTTGATTTAGAGGTAGATGTCCTGGATTAATGCATAGATTGGAAATGGTCTCTGGTTCATATTTAGTAGCTCCTATGCACCCACTAGTTTAGCAGTCTCTAAAAGTGATTATAATACTATACTTGCTCTTCTACTGAATCAGCAAACCTACCACTGGATGAAGGTGCACTTGCAGTATCTGTTTTCTTGTGCACTTTAGGTTTCCTTGCAGGGGGTTAATAGGCTTTTTTTTGTGTGGAGAGTTTCTCTGAGAGAAACTTTAGATGTGCTGGCAACAGATGGCATACATGCGTACAGTGCTAACCCTGCATGAATGCTTAATAAACCTCATGTAAAAGGGAAATCCAGTACAGCTCAGTACCAAAGAGAGTAAAGTGACTGCCATTTCCCCAAAGTGCTAGGAAAAATATGCACCAAGATTCAGTTTGAGCTGGGGAAGAACCTAATGTGTTATGCTTGTCTGCTTAGATGATCATAGTTCTTTATGTCCTTGGTTTCCAGACTCTTGACTGTGCTCAGTGTGTCCCTTCACACTTTGCTGTGTCCTTGGGACCTTGTGTTTTGAACAACCATTCATCCCTTGGATCGTGGATACTCCAGCAGTGTTAGGCTTGAAAACAGTAAACCTCTGGATTGATGCTAGAATCTCAACTCATGTTGCTCATGGTTACCACATGTGTGGGCTCTCACGTTGCTACCACAGCCCTGCATGTGGTGACATCTTCAGTACTATCCAATCTGGCAGGAAAATAGTAAATAGCATAGCAGCTGCTGCTGCCTGGCTGCTGAGAGGCACGGCGACATGCTCCTCTGGCCTCTGGGGTGCTGAGTATCTCCAAACAGTGCTATGAAGCATGGGCAGGGCTAAAAATCTGTAGATTTGGGACAGCCCTAGGTGGTGGGCTCAGTACAATGGGTTGAGCCATGTTGGGGGCAATTAAACCGGAGTACTTTGATCTATAGGGAAGAAGGTACCCACTTCTGTAATATCAAGCATGGGTCTTTTTCTGAGTTGAAGAAGGCAGACATTGTTTCTGACTGGAGGAGCTGTGTGCAATTAGAAGAAGAAACTGGAAATAGGGAACAAAGCAGCAGATGATTGAGTGAAATGGTGACTTCTTCATTAGCGGCTGTTTGCACAACACTTTGTTCAAGTGGTCTCTGTGGAATAGAAACAAGCCACTGCTCCAAGTTGCTGAGAGGCTGCTGAATTAGCTAGAAATGGTAATATTGGGCTCTTCTGGAACGAAAGACCAGCTCCTGAAGCTGGCAGGCTGGTTACAGGTGTGCGCTTTCTAACTCTGTTCTGAAGACTCAACCAAGAAAATATCAGGCTTGTGTTCTGTATATATATGTATTAATTCAGTTTGTGTGTCTCGTAAGTGGAAAGAATAATACAAGGACAGTGTGTCTCTTGGAGTGTATGCGTGTACCTGCATCCACCTGCAGTTGTACTAGCATAGACTGAGCATCCAGTTTTCACCAATTCCATGAGGAATTCTCTGTTTATCCACACTCACCACGGCTATGTGGGGAAAAGGAAATGTTTTTTGAGCTGCTGTTGGAAACAATGCTATTGCTAAATATAAGCAAGCAAAAACACAGTTGAAATGGGTTGTGCTGTAATTTTGTTTCCTGTTTTACCAATCCCATTTATTTGCCTTTTTTTTTTTTTTTTCCCGCACAGAGTAATTCAATTAAAACATCGAAATACAACTTCTTCACTTTCCTGCCTCTCAACCTGTTTGAACAGTTTCAGCGAATAGCCAATGCCTACTTTCTTTTCTTGCTGATTTTGCAGGTATGAACTCACTGTGCTGTTTCGAACTGATTGCTTTGTCTGTTATCAAAGCCTTGTTGCACATTGATAGTTGTAAGCTATTTCCCTGTTGTGACCTATCATCTCAGTAGAACCCTAAAGTAGTAAAAAGTGGGGCAGAAAAAAGAGCCAGCTGCTCTCTTAGCGTTGGATGTGAGTGTTTGAATTGAATGAGCAAAAAAATTAATTGCAGTTTTCAGCAAATTGTGGACACTTTCTCACGCCCCTTTTTGTCTACATCTGAGTGCTCCTGCTTCTCCTTGGATTTGCATTACTTACTCATTCTGTAGTATAAAAGGTTTAAAGGCAAATTCCTTGTACTCCTTTGACCGCCTTAAAGCAGCATGAAGAAGAACAAATTATTAAGTGATTGAGTTTCCTTGGGAAGGATGGAAGGAAAGTTAACATCAGGAAAGCTGACAGTTGCAGTTCATTTGCATAAAGCTGAATATTGCTCAGCAAGGAAAGGACAAAGCCTGATGGGAGCATGTCAGGAAGTGGCAACACCACTGAACCCAATAGCTCATAATGGCATCAAGCTGCACTTTGCCCATAGCCAATAGAAGTGCTATTTCATCTGAAAGCTGAACACACCAGAGAAGTTAGTATCAGAACCTTCTGCCCATTGGCACTTTGAGAAAGCATGGATAAAGGCTGCATAATCGCTCATTGCTGAGTCATACTAGAATACACGTGATATGAAGAAAAAAAAAAAAAAAAAGCCATCACAAAAACTGGTACAATTTTGGTTATGTCAGGGGTGATATTTTAAATTTGTTCATTTCAGTGCACGCAAGTTAAAAAAATTACCTTTTTTTCAAATGATATTCTTCAGTCTCAGCTCAAGAATGCATAGGCGTAATTTAGTTCAATCTTCAGCAAATTATATGTAATCTTTACTTATTTACAGGGAATGAATTATTTCAGCCCATACGTATTTTCCAAGAAACTAGTTTATAGTAAAAGTGCTTTTTCAGCCAATCTGCACTGTTCCCGTGTTGTTGTACTGCACTCTAGCTGTTTGCCTCTCAAATTCATGGTATTTCAAGCTATTTACCCTAAGTTATTCAGCTGTGTCTTTTGCCAAACTAAGTAGGAGTGTTGGGCATATAAAAGCATAGAGCTTTTTCTGCTACCTTCATCAAATTAGGCTAAGAAAGGCAAGACTTTTAGTCTTTTACATTCTGTTTTTCCTCCATTTAATTTTTTTACATTTTCTACCTGCTTATCACTTTCTTGTAGCACTGGAAGGAGTGATGGGTGGCTGTGGGTGCTTGCAGCCCCACACTGTGGGCACAGCCCATTAGGATATGCATCTTCCTAATTGTGTGAGAAGGCAGCAATCACGTGGCTCTGCACAGGGCTCTGATTGCCTCTAAACAACATTCCTCCTGTCTGGATTTGGTGGTGCGTGTGGGATCTGCGTTGTGCAGTGGAACAATCAAACACAAAGAGCAGCTTGTTTGGTGGCATAAATGTCAGTTTAACCTTGTTCATGGAGTTAATACTGCCTGAATGCATTCTGATGGAGTGATGCTCACATCACGTTGCTTCCATCGTTATGGAATCATATAATCATTAAGGTTGGAAAAGATCTGCTTTATCATCTAGTCCAACCATTGACCCAACACCACCATGCCCACCAAAACATGTCCCTCGGTTCTTCTAGAGGAAGGGGAGAGCTCTGTTGGAGTAAGATGGTGAAGGCACAGTCACTTTCAACTCTTGGTTCCTCTCTGTAGCAAAGATGTCAGAACAAAAATGCCTCTGTTGATCTTGGAAGAGCCTTGGGAACAGCTGTGTGCAGTTCAGTGACACGAAGTTTACTTCAGCAAACTGTGAAGAGTTACTGAAAAAAAAACAGAAGCATCTGAAGGCTCCACACAGCAGCCTTTGCTCAGATAACTCTGGGTCCTTCAACCAGGCTTGCTCATGCCACTCTCTCCAGAAAAATCCAATGGGGATTTCACAATCCTAATTTTACAAGCAGCAAGAAACAGCGGCCCACTGCGTTTCCAGTCAGCACCGTGTTCACATCCTAAATTACAACTATAAGCTAAGCATAGATTCCATGGCTCTCTCATATTTTTGAGTGACAGAGATGTATTTCTGTCTTTATTCTGTATCCAGATGTCATAGAACAAATTATCTGCAGCTTACACAGAAAACGGTGTTTTGTTTCCGTCTGCTGAAAAGCCATAAGTTTCTCAACCCAGGTCTCTTCTTCCTACAGTTAATTCCTCAGATTTCTTCACTGCCATGGTTCACAACAGTGGTGCCCCTGGTGCTGGTGTTGGCTGTATCGGGAGTCAAGGATGCCATCGATGATTTTGTAAGATTTGCGTTGCCGTTCTGTACTTTGGATTTTGCCCTTCATTCTTCAGCACAATCACTAAAGCAAACCTCTGAAAGTAAATACAGCCAGCTGCAGGAAACTGGATTAATAATCTCTGGCCCAGATGAGATTAAGTCCCAAAATCTGTAGTTCATTATCTGAAAGAGAGCCACAATTTCCTAATTACTGAGCAGTCCATTGGCTTTCTCAAACTGTTCAGCATGTCAGAAAACGTGGTAACTGAAAGATATGCATGGAGGCGTGCATGGAAGTCTGTTATTAGGTTCCCACGTTAAGCAGCTCATCCTCTGCCATCAAGACTCTGTTTAGAAAAGTATAGAAAAGTCTTCTAGCAAAGCAGGCATACAAGCTATGTGTACATTTTCATACGTGCTCTGCTTTGACTGAAATCTGCTTCTATGGTGGTCTAAGTTCTATTGACTTCTTGGAGCAATGATAAAACAGAGCTGACTTTAACATCCAGTCTTTAACATCTGTCATTTTTAAAATATGCTCCATGGTAGTTTGGATCCAGGTGATCCAGTGGTACTGGGAGGCTGTTCCAGGAGACATACCAGAACTTGTGGCCACAAGCCATAGCAGAGCAGAGGAGTGGGTGCCTTTGGATGCTTAGCTTATGAAGCTGTGATGGGCAGGTTTAATGGCAATTCAATCAGGACTGTGCTAAATGATATATAAGGCTCTAGGTTCCTCTTTCCCTCCAGAGAGCACACCCTATGTTGCCTGCTGCTCTTTGCAGTCCAGCTATGCCTTACCTTACCAGCTAAACGTGAGCTCGGCTATGACTCACTTATGACTCTAATCTGCCTTATCCATTCAGCCAGCTGGGAGAAAACTTAAAATGTCAATGAACTGCCTACTATTGTGTGCTTGGTTTTCTGGAGATGCTTTTTAACACACTGATCACATTTTCAGAATCGACATAAAAGCGACAATCATGTCAACAACCGTCCAGTCCAGGTCCTGATCAATGGCATGTAAGTCCTGTTTATTCTGCTGTAATTCTGACTGAACATGCACCACTGGGAAGAGCACTTAATTTTTCTCTCTTTGGGCTTCTGAAGATCACCAAACTGTTTAAGATGGAATTGTCTGTCACCCTGTTAAGTCACAGTGTGAATGATGTGGCTTGTTGATGAACCCATGACGTGGTTACACAGTCAGTGCAGACATTATGGCTGTGCCTGCACAGGCAGAAAGTAAACTATTTCTGTTCCTGGATGGAAATATGTGTGTGTGAATAACTGGTACTTTTGGAGTATTATGTTATTTTACTCTTTACCATAGAAGTGACACGTAAGGCTATCTCTGTGTCCATACTGATAGCATTTACTTCTGCATTAAGCAAAACTAGACTTTAGTAACAAGTGATTTTAAAAAAATAAGTGCAGATAGACTTCCTCTTTCATGCTGCAATACTTTGTGTTTACTTCTGTGCCTAATGCCTCAGACTTCAAAACATTTCAGTTTTGCCTTGGATATGGTACTGCCAGCACTATTCTTTTCCTTCAGAAAAAAACAACTTTGGCTGTTGTGGCTGACAGACACACTGTTTGCTTGTGACTCCATGGAGTCCACCCGCGTGTAGGACACAGATGTATACAGCTGTGAAGTCTCTGTGATTTTTTTTTTTCTGTACTGTAAATAGCAATATATTGTGTAAACTCCACCGGATGATCAAACAGTTAAAAATACAACTGGAAACTAAAGAATAGGAACGTACTTTTAGTGCCTTCTGCTAAGTAAACCAGTTTCTTAGTTTACTCTCTGTTAGTTACTGAGTCTTGAAAATGCATGCATTGAAAGAGAAATGTGCTCTTGCATTAGAAAACAAATGAAAAACTGGATTTGGTTACACTGGTGCTTGTAGTCCAGCTGAGTGCCTGCACAGCTTTGTGCTGCAGAGGCCATTACAGACAGGAGCTTAGCTGCGTGCATCCTGGTGCATCCTTAGCACCTGCATTGCCGCCCTTTCTGAAGGAGCTAGCACTGAGGCTCTGGCCCTTAATGCTTCTTGGAAAAGCCAACCCATCCGGTGATTTTCCCAGGTGTTCAGGGCATCTGCTGCAGCAAAGAAGGGAGTTTCTTTATCAGACACCGGAAGAAGGGAGCAGAGAGTGCACGTGGTCTCAGCCTTTCATGTGTCACCCCAGCTAAATACTGCTTTTTATGCCACCCTTTAGCCCACCATGTACCAGACCACACAGTGGCAGACCCTGCTTCTTTTTACCAGCAGCCCAGATTCTGATGGCACATACATCCTGAAGCAGAGCAGGGTATCCTATGTTCCTAAGCGGTGTTTGTTTTACGTTCCTACTTACTAGGAGTTCTCTTACAGGTTGAAGGATGAAAAATGGATGAATATCCAAGTGGGGGATATAATAAAACTAGAAAACAACAACTTTGTGACGGTGAGTACAGTTTCTCTCCATCCCGCTCACACTCAGTCTCCGTAATTACTCTGACTGCCTTATCACTCACAAGCAGATAAATCAGCAGGGATGAGAATTGCAGTGTTCAGAAACCACGAGCAGCGTAGCAGTGCGCTGCCCTCCAGCTGCATAGCTCATGCCCAGCGTGTCTGTTTGTGTCCAGGCCGATCTGCTGTTGCTGTCGAGCAGTGAACCACACAGCCTGGTGTACATCGAGACGGCGGAACTGGATGGGTAAGCCAGCCTGTTCCTCGGGGCCATCACTGCTGCTAGCACGAGGACAAGCCTTGTGTGGTTCTGCTAGGTGCTGGAGGGGTCTGCTCCATGCAAACACTGCTTACTGAGGGTACAGCTGGCCACAAGCTAGAGGGTTACGTCTTATTTGTATTAATTGGCAGAAACTGGAGCTGACTTCATCATTACATCCCACTTTGTCTTACCTTTTCTGCATTGCCCGGAGCTAGCGTCAGTTGTGAATTTTGGCACTGGCTGAAGGAGCAAGACAGATCAGAGAGCTCGAGGGACACTAATCTCTCCAGATCCTACACAGATCCCTATGGATTTTCCCTCTCTGCTTTCTCCTGAAAATGAGCACACAGTTCTGGTACATGCAAGTGCCAGGGAGAACGTTTGGGATGCCCAGTACAAATAGCGTTTATCTGATGCTGCATTTCAACTCACCTCCCTAGATGGCCTAAACTTTAGAGCTCTTCAGGTCCAGAATACCATGGGATAAGATCCAAAACTCTCTTATTTGCTCCAATAGTTCAGGATTGCATGCAGTATGAATGGCAGAATTGACACTAAACTGCTCAGGGGGTTGAGATGCGTGGTCCTATGCTTCGTGGTGACCGTGACACAGACACCTCACCCTCTTTGCTACCATGTCCAGAATTCCCCTGGACTGCTTGTCTTTGCAACTGAAACAGTAAATCTCATCTTTTTGGGCAGTTAAAAAAAGGCCATCAGATATCTAGGGAGGAGGCAGTCCTCAAGGACAGAAGTGACCTTCAGGGAGAGCTGGTCTCATTCCTTTATGCTTTATGTAATGTATTACAGTGAAACGAACCTCAAAGTGAAACAGGCACTGACAGTCACTGCTGAGCTTGGAGAAGATCTTCAGAAACTGACAGACTTCAATGGTGAGTTTATGTTCAAATTTCTCTTTCCAAAGAATTTTCTCAAACACCAGAGTCCATGGATTGCCCGAGCATCTCCTTTCCAGGCTACTCCCTGCACAGCACTCCTTTGGATGTGGTGCCAGGCAAACAGAATGGGCACACTGCATCTGTATAGCAAATAACAGCAACTTGAAGAATCTCTGCCCTACCAGCAGTTCTCTATTAATGCCACAGGGGGACCGCATTTTAAGATGTTTATACACCAGCTGCTGTTAACAGGCAGAGCATCCTTTCTTCACACTGCTTGCATCTCATATATATAGCAGTAGGAAAAAGGAGCCAGACTTGTTGCAGACAAAATAGTCTGTGGTCATAGATCACCCATCAGCAGAGAGGATGAGGGAACGGAGCTTTGCAGAGCCCTGCTGGCTTCCATCACAGGGCAGGATTGTAGGAAGTACGGAGATGGAGAGCAGTGGAGCAAGGGCCGCTGTCCTTGGAACTTCTCAGGGAGTTGCAGGCTCTCAGGAAATGGTTTTAGTTAAAGAGGACAAATAATCAACAGTAAAAATAAATCTCATTGAAATAACTAGACTGTCCCAGGAAAAACGATGGTGATGTGGCAGTTAGCATGGTACGGATGCTCTCTGGGAGTATCATCCAAATGTAGAGGCTTTCCTTCTGCTTTCTGCACTGAGGTTCTGTGAAGCGACATGTGTGGTCTCAGTGAGCAACAGCTCAGAACATTGGGATTTCTCCAGTGTGAAGGCTGTGGTTCTGAGTGCTTTAGGTCTTGAGAAATGTGCTTTTGTGGGCGCAGCAAGATGTTTTTTGTGAATAGTCAGGTTGTGCTCTCAGCTGTTTTCCTGGGGAGGATGCAGTGTGTATCCGTTGTTAAGCAAATCCTCCATCTTACACCATTTTTCAAGCATTTTCTGGGTAATGCTTATCTAAAGATGCTGCATTCTTGAAACAACATCATTAAAAAATGTTTCAAAGTCTTTTGGAGAATTACAGATGTTCTATCAAATATTTATTTGTCCTTTAAATCTCTGCTTGTAAATAAAGTGGCCTCTGTGCTGTACTAAAATGAATAGAATGTTTCCCAGGATGATTTGTATTTGGTGAATACTGGGAAGAGTGCCTGGACTCAGACCCAGTCTTGCATTTCCCTAGCTAACTTCTGCAAAGTATTTAAATATTTATGCAATTCTTTATCTAATTATTTCTTAAGACAGGAAGAGAGGAAAAGGCTGAGCAGCTAATATAGGCACTCAATGGAATGCTTAATGTGAGTTATGATGTTTGTTGATGCTGTGATGGTTCAGATAAGGAAGATGCTTGAAACATGCTGAACTTTATTTCATTTGGAAACCAGGAGGCAAAATGTTTTTCAGTACCTACAATTTACTGCATGTAGACTTGGCAGAATTAAAGGTGGTCAGGTGAAAGGCATTCTGGTATCTGCCTGCCGTTAGCAGGACAGGAGGCACAGAGTCTTAATGGGGTCATGGTGAGGGCACTGGGTTTCTCACTCCAGAGTTTCTCACTCTTTTGTGGTTGGGTTAATTCAAATGATTTTGTTCCAATGTCAAAATGTCAGACTCACCCACTCACTGGGAGAGCAGATTTGGGCGTTGACTCACAAGGTACTTAAGTCACAACCCAAAACTTGCATGAGGAGAGGAGCAGTCCTCTTGGCAAGGACTGTGCCCTGGTTTTGGTTCGCCAAAGTTGTGTTGTGTTTTGGGTTACATTGCAGAGCCCCTGTTCCCTTTGTGCTTTCTGGGGAGCATAAGGGCTGTCACAAGACAGGCATGGTGACTGTAGGAGTTTGAGGCTAGGGAGGGCAGGTCTGACTGCTCTTGGATCAACCAGAGCATGAAACGGCATCACCAGCACCGATGTCTCAAAGAACTTCCTAATTGCTTCTTCTTTGAAATTTGGTGATTTCCCTGCTCTACAGCAGAACAGCTTTTCCACGATGAGAACATCCATTCCTGAGTTTTAAATTTCCAGCAGTGGAGTCTACTGCAACACTCACATCTGTACTTTGATCTGGATTTCTATGTGTTTTCCCCACAACCTCTTAATCTGATGTGTTTGTATCTGAAAACAGCTGGAAAAACGGTATTCTCTGCAAACGCTGGTCCTCACGTAGAGATTTGCAGCCTGTGATCAAAATAACTTCAGTGTTTCTGCTGATTATCCAAACAGACTGAACTCTTGGAGTCTTTTTCTGTAAGGTCTATTTATATTTCCCAGTTCCTTCCAATATGTTCACAGGGCTCTGCTTTGAATCTTTAGATGCTGGCTGCTGATGTCAATTTAAATAATAATTTTTATACCAAATTATCTGTATTTACAGTCTTACATTAACATGTTCTCTTATAAAGTATAGAAGTAGGAACTTCTCCAAACAGAGTGTCAGCTGCATGGCCAAAGGGAGCAGCATCTCTTTCAAGTGTGAGCATATCTTAAGGTATAAAACAGATAAAATTAAAAACCAGTGAACAAAGACACCTCAATTAATTACTCTCTTGCAGCCTTCAGGCAATGATTTTCTTGCTTGGGCTCATGCAATTTTAAAGAAAATGGAGCAGGAATTGTGTAAGGTCAGCACTGCTGTCTGGAATTACCCAGTGACATCCTACCGTGATGATCTTGCTGTGGAAGGATTAGAAGCATGTTGCTTGTTCAACGTTTCTTCTCACCCACAAAAGAGAGTGGAAACCTAGTTTTGGACTGTAGTAACACAAAATTACCTTCTCTAAAATCTAAGATAAATCCAAATTTGTTGTGGCCATTAGATTATGACATGATATGGGGTGAAAGCAACACCAGTAGATATTGGATAAAGGTTAGGAATGATGGGGTCAACAGCAGACAGCAACTACAGTGTGAAATATTTCCTGCCTGGAAACAGCTGAGAATGCAGTATTGATCAGTGTACTTCTAGGCCATGAAAATTCTTAACATTTTCTTGTGTTTTTTGTTTGTTTGTTTGTTTGTTTGTTTGTTTTTGTTTTATTTTTATAACAGGTGAAGTCAAATGTGAGGCACCTAACAACAAGCTGGATAATTTCACAGGAACTCTTGCTCTTCGAGGAGAGAAGTATGCCTTGGATAATGAGAAGATGTTGCTGAGGGGCTGTACTATTAGGAACACGGAGTGGTGTTTTGGTCTTGTTATTTATGCTGGTAGGTAGAAAAACAAGTGAATTGCAGAGTGCAGCAGCATTTGTATGGGAGCACATCATACCTAGTAAGGAGAAAGGAACCAAATACTTTCCTCTTTAGAGATAGATTTCTATCAGGTAAAAGAATAAAGGCAAAACAACACATATGATCCCTTGGTTTAACTCTAGGCTAGGCATTTTGCATACTATTGGGGATTTTAATCTGGAATTTTTTGTAGTGGCATGTAAGAGAAAAGTGATTTGCAGATATTACATTACAACATCCAATTCTGTCTTAATAAAATGCTTTTATGGGCAGAACTAGTGTTTTATTTCTGAAATGTGTGCAGCAAAGTATATGAAGGAAGTCTTGATCTCTCAGTAAGAAAGAATTTAAACATTTAATTTGTTTAGGAATTACATCTAACTGAGATCTGCCATTATTGGCCTACTTTAGGCCAATAGGAGCCTTAATTCCCCAAGCTTGTTCAAAATTTTCCATTCTTAAATGTATCTGATTAAAAATTCAACATCACTTTTATATGATTTCAAGCCACACTGGAATATCAGGACCATCAGTGGTGGTACTGCAGACTATTCAACCTATGCTTCTTACAAGCATAGACCTTCTGTTGTTTCTATAGTGCTGCAGACTTAGGAGACATGCGTAATATGTCAGTAATAACAGCACAGCATCAGGTATTCTGTGAAAAGTAATTAAACCCAAAAGGGAGGATTGGCTGTTGAAAGAAGAGAATGGGATCAAAATACAGAATTAATGGATTAATTAATTAGCTTTACGTGACTCCTCCTTATAACCTAAGGCAAGTGACTTAACACATTCAATGTGTTTCATCTCCAGGGCCAGACACCAAACTGATGCAGAACAGTGGAAGAACAACTTTCAAAAGGACGAGCATCGACCGGCTCATGAATGTCCTTGTGCTGATGGTCAGTCTGATTGCATCGTCCAGATGCGTTTATCCTTTTCACATGCCCCACACTTCTTCTGAAGTGCTCCCTCTTCTTTCTGATTTCTTGGTGTCTTTGGTGGTATATGCATTGCATTTGGTAACTGAGATTGTCGATTTACATGATGCCAGCTTTTGCTTTATCACACACACACACATGGGGTGAACAATGAGACGTGGGCTTGTTAATACCAAGAAGGTGGTGTTCTTAGCAGCTGCCAAATCTGAAAGCACTGATCTTACATTGCAGGTGCTCTGCACACATAATAAGTACTAAGTTGAGATTTAAGCTTGTCAGTGTTCTCAACAAACGGCAAACAGTACCAGGCAGAGACAGTGATTCTTCTGCAGACTCTCAATATTTTACCACTTGCTTTCAAAGCATATCAGGGAAGGGACCACCTTTATCACCACCAATCTTCGGAGGCGTGCATTCTGATGTTGCTGCACTCAGCATTGCTGGAAGAAAAGCTGTCTTCCTTTGGATGCAAGACTGACTGCTGGCACTGTGAAGTAGTGTCCTGAATATCTACATGTGCATATTTGCACATATTAAGCAACACCACAGCACAGAGAGCTGTTCAGGGATCATCTTCAAGCCTTTGGGGCCCTGTTTAGAGAACAGTAAAGACACTCCACTGACTTTAATAACACTCCACCAGTTGCTACCAAGTGAAATCCTCACTTATCATCCTCAGCTTGCTTTCCTTTCTGTTTTCTTCCCTTAGCCTTAAGGGGACAGCGAAAACCAAGCAAGATTTAGGCATCTGACATTGAGAATTTTGTTTCTGAAAAGCCACACATTTTCAAGCATGCTCTGTTCTGCTATTGCTGGAAAGGAACAGGGGATGTGGGGTAAAATTGTAGAGGAGTGGAGGAAGTCTGAATAGAGAACTCAGAATTTAGCATTCGATGAAGGTTTGCCAAATCTGCTTTCGCAAGCCAAGGGTCCCACCCAGAGATTTCAGCCTGTTTGGCCTCTCTTTGAGAATGAGAACAAGATGAGTTTACCTCCTGGCTCCATTAAAAAAAAAAAAAAAAAAAAAAGAAAAAAAAGAAAAAAAGAAAGAGCAAATTGCAGTGGATTGCATCAGCTTCTGCCTGAGTTCTCAGGCACTGGTGGAGCCAAGTGTGTGTTTTTCTCCTTCATGCACTTTTAAGGCACCTAGCATTTTGGTGTCTTGCAGCTCTGCCCTGCCCCACATGGCCAGCAGTGTGGCATCGGGTCCTTCCAGCTCTCCAGGTGGCCAAAGGTTGCAAAGCATAGTCATAAAAAGAGGCAGTGTATTGCACCCCCGAGTTTGGAAATACAGAGCAGCCACAGCTTGTGGTAAATAGCTCATTTTAAGCTTAATGAAACTCCTTCTGTGTTAACACTGGCAAAGGCATTTTGTGTTTAATTGTCTGTAAAACTTCCAGGGACAAGTCAGTTTTTTTGGCAGGGTGTGACAAAGGAGTTATGGTGCAGTGCTGCCCTGGTCTGTCCCTACAGGGGTTAATTGGGAGTGAACCTTTCCAGATGGAAACCATCACTGTTCGTTCGTGTTTGGGAACATTTCTCTCTGCAAGGCTCTTTGGCAGCACGGGGCAGAAACCAGCAAGAGAGGAACATTTATCAGGATCTCAGAGAGATGGGAATGTTCCTCATCCAATAGAGGATGCTACTGTCAATACCAGGAATTAGTTTTCCCCAAAAAACTTGCTTTTTTACAGGTTTGGGGAGGCAAATTTTCAGAGAAATACAGCTGTCAGCTTCATCGCTAAGCGCCCTGTTGCTTCCAACCACAGAGCAAAACTCAAAGTGCCAGCAAAGAAACCCAGACTGTTCTAATGCACTGTCTGGCAGGAAATGTCTGTCAAAAGTCAGCTCCTCCCTCCACAGATCCCACTCAGCCCTGCAGAGGATTCATCACAGGCACTGCATAGTCTGCTCGTGGTGGGAAGCCGTCAGCCTACGATAGGTTTGCTCTCTTCCATCTTTTCTAGAGTGGTGGTGATGATGCCAACACTCTGACCACAGTTGTTTGTTTGGCTTTTCTAATTAATTTTATAGCAGACCAGGTCTGCAGTGAGAAGTCGTACTTTTTACTCGACCAACAGAAATAATACATATGAAAATGGATGGGCTTGTCTGTTTTCTTCATCTATTGGTTTAATAAAGGGCATTACCCATTCCTGAGTCATCCCCCTCACAAACCCTTAGACCGCTGTTATTACAACAGCTCAAAATAAAGTCTGTTTTTAGTGGCTGGTCACAGAGGTTTAAAAACACCACATTCCTTACTAGCAAGCAATATTGTCTCCATTTCACCAGTGGAGTAATTTACTGGGTTTCCCACAGCTAAACAGAAAACCTGCTGTGTTGTGGGAAACAAATGTGCCTCCTGAATCCAGCACAACACCTTTATTAATTAAAATCCCCCCTTAGTATCTTGTTGGCATCAAATCTGAAGTTGGTTGGGCATGAACTTTTAACCAAGTGACTCAAATCATTCCATAAAAGTATCGTTCCTCCCCTCATAAACTACTTCAGTAATGCAAACATCTGCTTTACCCGCAGTTTCTATATTTGTATCTCAATAACTGCTTCAGAAAATGTTGATGACTCCTGTAATGTGGTTATTACTGGTTGGCCTTACAGTGTCCCAATGTACTGGTAGTTCACCCCTAATGACCGTATGTGCAAGAGATGGTTTTTAATAGCACAGTTGCACAGTCTGTTGATGGTGTATCTTCACACTCCTCTTAGGATGGTGGATGTTTTAAAGGAGAATCCAATATCAATGGTATTTCTTGTAGAATCATTTATCCAGGAGTGATGTCATGCTAGCTTGTTTCTTTACCACAGTCACACTGTTTCAGCCTTCCAAATATTGTAATTATCTTAGCAGATTTTCAGTTTGCTTTGCAGCTTTCAAAGCATTGTTAAAAATTAACTTGACTCATTAAGGTAATTACTCAGTGAGCTCCTTCAAGCTTTTGGCTTTCAATTACCTGGACCCACTGATTTGAAAATGCTTGTCATTAGCAGATAAAGCCACATATTGTTCCTTATCACAGTAGGTGAACTGTCTTTTCCATCTGCTACATCATATGGGATAGATACATCCTTCTGTTTCATTCCACCATCATTAGTGGAGGAATGTCTGTTGAACAAAACTGCCTTTCCACACCTATATTTGTGTGTGTACTGTTTTCTTGGTATTTATCCGTATTTTCTTCCCAATTGCTGTTCCCTGGCTTGCTTTAAGTTCAAGAAGTAGATTTCTCTAAGTCCAAGGCTACACTTCAGTGCCTGACATTGCTTTTTGTTAGCTGAAAGGAGGTGTAATCAGATTGCAATGGTAGGTACCAAGGCAACAATTAGTTCTGAGTCAGTGATTCTCCTTCAACCATAAGAATAATATCCAGTGCTGAATTCCAACCTGCACAGCGATGGATTTTCTGCATTACAAATTATCCTTACTGATTTTTCAGAAACTGTGAGGAAAACCTTGACACATCTGGCAAACAGCCAAGAGAAGTCTTTAGGGTGGTTTTATTCTCAGGTGTGCAGCCAGACCTTTAAGGAGCAGCAGTTGAGTGCTCCTCCAGTGAGATTTGATGCTCTACACCCATCTGCCTATGAGCACCCTCGTATAGGTCTGTATTTGGGACATAAATTCCTTTTTGTCTGAAGTCTTGTGAGTCCAAATTGCCAGAGACTCTGCACTGTGTAGTTGTATCTCTGAGATAAAGAGTCATATTTTTGCCTGTTTGCCTCCTAAAAACCTTTACCCATCATGCAGACTATCCAATTCCTTTTGATTACAGTTTTCCAATTAAACAGCACATAATGAATTCTTTGTTTCTAACATGCAGTATCTTATTTTATTTTTTTTTTCAGATCTTTGCATTTTTAGCACTGATGTGCCTTATCCTAGCCATTGGCAATGGTATCTGGGAATCTGATAAGGGCTACAACTTCCAGGTCTATCTGCCCTGGGCAGAAGATGTCACCTCTGCTCCCCTCTCTGCCTTCCTCATGTTCTGGTCATATGTAATCATCCTAAACACAGTGGTGCCAATTTCACTCTACGTCAGGTATGTGTTGGATCCTTCTTTCGTTTTAGAAAAGTTTTAGCTTTTGGCTGGATGGGGGGTGGAAGGTCCTTTCCAATCCAAGCCATTCTGTGATACAACACGAATTCAGCCCCAGTGTGGGTGACCCCACACAGCCAGGGCCAGCTCTCGACGCTGTTGCCATCAAGTGAAGACATCTCATAGCCCCCTACCTTCTTGACTTGTCAGAACAGGTCCCACATGGTTTTAAAAGAACAAGTGGTTAAAAAAATATGTTGTCTTCTTCAGTGAGACCTTTTTTTTCTCCATCTGAAGAAAAGGTGTAAGTGCAGGATGCTGTGGGAGTGAGGCTGGAAACTTGCTACTACACTGCCACTGCACCATGCTCTCTCCCCTTTGTACAGCCCACTGAAAAAAGGTGAATAGCACTTTCTTTACAGAGGCTGCAGGGCTCATGTGATGTGTGGGTTGCCAGGTAAGTAGGAGTTGAGGGTCTGTATGAATGGACAGACATTGCCATAGTTTCCAAGAGAACAGTGCTATGTTGGCTATTGCAGATGGGCAAGTAGGGTAGGAAAGGTGGACATGTCACCTACAAAACTTGAGGTGGCAATGTTGACTGCCTCGGCTGGTTTGGTTTATAACTTACCTAATTTGTCAGGGAGAAGTGCTTCTGACTACAGGATGAACCATAGCTGTGTAATTCACAGAGAACATTTGTGAAAAGTTTGTGTTGCCAATCTGCAAGGACGGCTCATAGCTGCTGGTGCTGCCCTCTCCATGGAGCTTCCGGGAGCATGAGCAGTTACACTCAGAGCTAAGGGGCTGGAACTTGTGTTCTTAGACTCCCTTTTGTGTTATCAAATGTAAGGAATTCATCCCGTTCCTGCCCAGTGTGTCACACCAGCAGCAAAGTGGAAATTCATGTTGTCTGTGAGCTGATATTGCTTCATGATTATATTGAGTTACACAATGACTCACTTGTCCTGGTGGTCTGAGTTGTTTGTACTCATCTCCAGGCACCAGAGTGCAGCCCAGCCCAGAGTCTCTCCAAACACGTTCCCTAAACTGCACAAAATGAAACACCCTGCTGCTGCCTCTGACACGTCTGTGCTCCATGCACAGCTGCCACTTGTTCACAGCAGGGTTAATGACGAGTTGTGCTACTCTGAGTGAGGGTGAATTCTTGTGGCTTGTCTTAAGTCACTGCCCAGTCTAAGGAAAAGGATAGCCACAGCAGGAGCAAGTGCAGGTCTGATAGATAAGGGAAAGGAACCTACTACAAGCCTATTGCATCGTTTCAGCGGGACTGGCTTTAGTATTGCTCGCTGCAGTCCACTTAAGGACTACTTGACAAGTATGCCCTGTCATTAACTTCAAAGTTGTCCTCTAATTGCTAATGATAGTGCTGAAGATGAAGATCTCGTCCTTTAAATCAATGACTATTTGGTCGCCTTTCTCTTTCTGTTTCACCAGCGTAGAGATTATACGCTTGGGTAACAGTTTCTACATCGACTGGGACCGTAAGATGTATTACCCACTGAATGACACGCCAGCTCAGGCCCGCACCACTACGCTCAATGAAGAGCTGGGGCAGATCAAGTACATCTTCTCAGACAAAACAGGAACTCTCACTCAGAACATCATGTCTTTCAACAAGTGCTCCATCAATGGCAAATCATATGGTATGTTACCCCACTGCTCTTATTCTTTGGGTTTCACACCTCTCAGTTAACAGAGACTAAATATGACATCCAGAAGAGTGTTTTGTAAGTAGCTGTAATGGTCAGATATATGAGGTCAGCCCTGATATTGCATTATTTGTGTATCTTAATATGATTTTCCTGTCTGTTGTTTCCTTTGCTTTCCCCTTTGCATCCCTCGACCTCCTTTTTCCTACCCCATAATCACCCAGCTAAAGAACTTGCACCTTATTACTTTGTTCACTCATTGATACGAGTTTTACTACATCTATACCCAAATTTATTCTTTTTCTGCTGTCGCTGCTTATATGATCACAGCCCTTTGTGGTGTTATTGATATGGTTACCCGTGTCAATGGTATGGCCATTCATCTGCATCTTAGCTTATTTAGCCTACCAGGAGAAAGAAAAATTTGTAGGGAGTTGGAAAAAATGGGAAAGAATGGTTGTTAGCACCATTAGATGACAACAGTCATTGACAGGCTCCTTCATTGTATAGCCACAGGCAATTTTCTTCATCCATCTCTACAGGTGCTAGCAATTCACATACTGACTAATTGATTAACATCAGTAGTCTCCCCCAGAGAAATTAGTCACATCTTATTTGTAGATTGATGCTTGTATTGCCTGTACCAGACCTACTGAGGAACTAGTGTGCCAAAAAGCTTGTGCTTTTTTTCTCAGTGCTATCTGTTGGCCTAAATGAAGGAGTAAGTTCTTCCTATAAATCTTGCTTGGTGTATATTTGGATGACACAATATCTGTACAGTGCTACTATGTACTGCCCAGCCTTAGTGCTGTGGTTTGAAAATATTCTGCCTGCTAATTTGTGGCCATGGTCGTACTATACCTATTAGTCATGGAACCAGGCCAAACCATCCGGTACATCGTTGACATGCATGTGTCTGTCCTCTTGTTGAGTTTTCTGTCCAAGAAATGAATGGGAAATAGGCAGAAAGAAGGCAGTCTATCCTTTTCGCCTCACCCCTCCCACCTCCAAATTCTTAGCTGTTTCTCCAGCCTACTTTGGATTTTACACTTGGAGCATTTTGAGGAGCCATGCCAGAAAAAAGGATGCATTGGTTCTGCTGCCAGGGAGGATACTCTATAGGCTTAGGCTTGCCATTGAGGAGGAGATGTCTAATAGCCTTTTGATTACAGTTCCCAGTGGGATCAACTGCTGTGCAGTTCTCAGGAGAGATGGCTTCTGAGTTTCTTTCTACAACCTCAGGGCTGTTGTGAGGGAGTAGCAGTACCTTGAATTGATTGTAGTCGCAGTTGAGGTTGGATCTGTCAAATATGTAGTTTTCTGTGTTTCAGTCCTATTTGAAAAAGTATTGAATCTGGCTGTCCTGGGCACAGCCCACAGCTTCCTAGATGTTTTTGTCCAGTAGGGAAACTCCTTTAGCTAGAAAGGAGATGTTGTTCATTTCTTTGACCAGATTGTCAGTTCAGTGAAACTACCATCTATGTGTGGGAAGAAGGGGCTTTGGCAGCTGCTTTTTGCTCAGGGACTGCTGCAAAACATGACCCACGAGCTGGATTTTGTCTCACATTCCAAAGGAAAGATGCAAGAGAAATCTCCTGAAAGCACCATCTTAACGCTGTCACTTCTGAGCAGAAATTCTTCTTTACCCAAATTGCGGAGAACTTTACTTTGAGTTTTAAACTCAACTCTGGATTTTGTCATGGATTAATATAGGATCTGATCGGTATGAATCACCAGTCTCCACTCCATATGTCAATATATTTGTGTTTATTGAAAATTTTAAATTTGGCACTAGCTTCAAAACACTTGTCTTCTTTTTTTTTTTTTTTTTTTTGGTAGAGAAGCTCAGAGATTGCAGTTATCTGGAGTTTGTGGGATAACATCAGTCTTTCTTGCTTGCAGGTGATGTGTATGATCAGTCTGGTCAGCGGATAGAAATAAACGAGGTAAGTGCTCAAGAGCTAGCAGATCCTCTGCTTTCTGTGAACCTGCCTGCAGAGGTGTCCCTGGAGACATCCCACCCAGGCTTAGCTCGTGCTCATGTTCGTTCCTCCTTATCCTAACAGCAATGAGGTGCATTCTTGAGGGCATCAGAGGCTTGTCATAATTGCATTCATTTCTAGTAAGCCTGCTTTAAACTTGCAAGATGGGCAGCATTGTTCCCTTAACTTCATGTGGCATCCTACTGCATGCACAGCTCCTCTGGACACTTGGATATTGATAGCGATTGGAAACTTGGACAGTTTGGTACTGTTATCCTTAGCATGATATGAATTAAAGTTCTGGAGGGAGTTCAGTTCATATCCATAACAAGGTCACTGTCAAATTTCCCTAGTGTCTGAACATTGGAGAGTGTGAAAATGAGTGACTTCTTCATTTTCTCCAGCCTCTATTTGCTGGTGCAAACCTCCATCTCAGATTTCACTGCCTAAAATGTCTGAAAACTGTACGCAGTAATCCAAGTAACAAATGGCAAAATGGTGATGAAAATCCCACTCCTCATCTTGGTGATTCATTTCTAGACCCTTTAAGACTTAAACTGAAATTGGCTCTTTGCTCTGAGTGCTGTCAGAGGTGCCACCAGCCTGCGCTCCCTCAAGCAGCAGAATACCCCAGAATTGCTGGGGTAGAGATGCTGGTCTGCTCCCAGCCAGCCACCCAGCAGCAGTGTCCTGCGGGACAAAAGGCTGCTGCCCACACACCCACTGTGCTGGAGTGTTTGGACCTTCTTGCACAAGTCAGCGGAGGTGGGAGGGCTGTGTTCTTACAGTGTAAGTGCAGAATGTCAGCTGGAGCAGGTCAGAAGGATGACTCCCATCCTGGAAACTCTGAGCTCACTGGGGGTGGGATGAGAGTGGAGATCATGCGGGTCAGGATCCGCCGTGCATTCCCCCAGAGCACTTCATGTTTCTCCACTGTGATCCTCTCTGCCTGGAGGCTCTTTGTTTTCAGACAATAAGAGTAGGCAGTGCCCACGGGTCTGAACCTTTACATCACTCATCTGTCATCTTTTTCCATATCAGTTTTTTTTTTTTTTTTTACTTGCTTTAGGAGGATGGAGAGCACAGCCTCCAAGAAGCTGTGTTTTGAGGGCACTCATTTCTGTATTGTAGAAATCCTTCAGTGGGGTTCCTGATGGAGTACTTGCTGCAGTACAGGGAGGCATCTTTTTAGATAATGATGCTGTCAGCCCAGGTGCTGCTCTGATCAGTACCCGGGTGCCTGTCCTCTCCTGTGACTAAGTAGCTTTCAAGACCTCCCACTTACTTGGATTCATCACTCTCTGTTATGAGCAGCTCTGCAAGAGAGAGATCTCTGTAAATGTAAGAGGGTGGGGTGGGCAGGCACTGCTGTACATGTATGTGAGAGCTCTATAGATAACACTAATCCATATTTTTACAGAACACAGAGAAGGTTGACTTCTCCTACAACCAATTGGCTGACCCAAAGTTTGCCTTCTATGACCACAGCCTGGTTGAAGCTGTGAAGCTGAATGATGTCCCGACACACAGGTTCTTCCGGCTGCTCTCCCTTTGTCACACTGTCATGCCTGAAGAGAAGAAGGAAGGTGAGGACTGGCAAAGGCAGCAGCTGGAGTAATTGTGCCCATCATTTATGACTGTGGTTGGGGTGGGATTACTGTAACTGGAGTGCAGAAATTGTAGGTGCCAAAGCTTCCCTCAAATGGGAGATGGCTTGTCCCACTCTTCTCTACTTCACACATAGTTTTCCAGCTTTAATGATTCTGTGATTCCGTACCGTCCCTGGAGGTGTTCAGGAAATGGAATGTGGTACTTAGGGACGTTGTTTAATGTGCAACACTGATAATTGGTGAGCAGTTGGACTAGACGATCGCAGAGGTTTCTCCCTACATTAACGATCTTATCATTCTATCATTCTAGTTAATTGCTCCCCCTCCCAGAAAAAAAAGTATTTATTTAGTTCAAGAACAGGGCAGAAGTCACATCACCTTCTCTTCTTGCATGGCAGGTAACTTGGTGTACCAGGCCCAATCTCCCGATGAGGGAGCCCTCGTCACTGCTGCCAGAAACTTTGGATTTGTGTTCCGGGCTCGCACACCAGAGACCATCACGGTTGTGGAAATGGGAGAAACAAAAATCTACAAACTTTTGGCTATTCTTGATTTCAATAATGTCCGCAAACGAATGTCTGTTATTGGTATGTATGCTCTCTTGGCTCCTTTCTTCCTTCCTGGGTTTTTAGGTTTATGAGAGCCTCCACTGGCAGCAGAACAAATTGTTCTTGATGTCTGAATATAGATGTCCTACCTGAATTGCAGGTTGTTAGGACTATGTTGTCTGAACAAAGAATCTGCTCAGACCAGTGTTCAACCTCTAAAGCTGAGTGTAGTTACACTCTCTTGTCTCCTAAGCAAAGTTCATCTTGGTTCCTGGGATTCTCCCAACATTTGGTAGAGTTTGGACACCTATAAAAACATTTGTTCTGATACAAATGCTGTGAATCCCAACTGCTTCAGCCTGAGATGTGTAGAATTTTTGTCCTCTTCCTTCTAGTGCGCAGTCCAGAAGGTGACTTGACTTTGTACTGCAAGGGGGCTGACACCATTCTTTATGAACTGCTTCATTCATCCTGTGAGTCTCTCAAGGAGGAGACCACAGAACACCTGAATGTAAGTGTTTCCTTCTTCATTGAATCTCTGCATTTGGTGGTTGCCTTTTCTCCAGGTATGAAAATGTGATTTGTATTAAACAAAAAAACAGATTTCAGAAGCAGCACCCAAACAAGAAGTGTATATATATTTTTTTTTCATGGGGCTTGGAGAGAGAAGTTAACTTATGAAGCCTTCAATACCAAATTAGGCATCACAAGTGCTATTTAAACTACTCTATGTTATCTGAGACATCATGACATGGATGCCAAATACAGTTTACAACATTCAGAAGAGCTGTATTCCTCTAGAGTAGGAGGTAGAAGCCAGGCAGGATAGGTGGAACTTCTGACATTGTGATCTAGGGGAGGATCATGTCCCTTCTCATGGCAGGAGTGTTGGAACTAGATGGTGCTTAGCATCCCTCCAACCCAAACCATCTAATGATTCTCCCACGTCGTACAGAGCAGCATGGAAAATGCAGCTCTCGAACTTGTGGATTTTTGGGGGGTGGCCTCTTCTCCTAGGTAGCAGCAGTAGGATGAGATGCAATGGCCTTAGGTTGCACCAGGGAAGGTTGAGGTTGGATATTAGGAAAACTTCTCTGAAAATGTAGTGAGGCGTTGGAACACACTGCCCAATGAGGTGGTGGAGTCACCAACCCTGGAGGTGTTCAAGAATAGTTGAGATGTCATTCTTAGGAACAGGCTTTAGTAGGCAACACTGGTGATAAGTTAGATACTGAACTAGAAGATCTTGGAGATCTATTCCAACTTTAATGATTCTATGATTCTGTCATTCTATTCTATGATTCTGTCATTCTGTCTCTGATGCACTTTTACTTCAAGCTTATGGAATCCCAAAGGAGAAAGAAAGTGAATGTCCTGTTTTGGGGGAAAACTTCAATTTGTGTAAAGAGGAACCTGCTTTATCAGGGGGTTGGACTCAGTGATCTCTAAAGGGCCCTTCCAACCTCTTCAATTCTGTATGTGACTCTGTGATCTGCAGAAAGCAGATTTACAAGATCTTCCTGAGATGCCATGACTGTGCATTTAAAACCACCACTGGACATGTTGAGCACAGCTCTGAAATTTAATGGTGAGTTCAGAGTGTCTAATTTAGGTCTTGCTACACTGAACCACATGTTGAAAAATGGGGTCCTGGGAAACAAGAGCCTGGTTGATATACATAAAGTTAAAGCCAGAAAGCTGGGGAGGATTTTGTTTTTTTATTTTGCAAGGATTGCGGACAGCAATGTAAAATGTTTTTAAACATTTTGTAGACTTGTAGATTTGTAGACTAAGGTGTGGGTTTTCATCCTTCCTCTGCAGACATTAGGTAAGAAGTTTTCACAAATAGCTCTTTGCTTTCAGAGAGTCCTCTGCAAAGCAGAGCAAGGAGTCTGTTCTCCCTTGACCTCCTCTGTGCCACCTCTGTTTCGCAGGAGTTTGCTGGGGAAGGTTTGAGGACACTGGTCGTGGCTTATAAGAACTTGGATGAAGAATACTTTCAGGACTGGATCAAGCGTCACCACGAAGCAAGCACCGCCTTGGAAGGACGGGAAGACAAACTGTCAGAGATATATGAAGAGATCGAAAAAGATCTAATGGTTGGTATTTCATGGAAACTGGGCCAATGTCTGGGGGAGGCAGTGAGGATAGTGGTTTGTCAATAGACAGCTCAGTATGACTTCAGTAAACACTGCGCTGCAAACAGCTCAGTGGGCTGCTTGACAGGAGCAGTTTGAAATATGGCAGTGCTGGGTTTTCACTGGCACCTCCGTGCGGAGCCAGCAATGGGGTGTCAGCCACCAGTGCCTGGGAATGGTTTTATTTTATCTCACGTGGGTGTCGGAGTAGCTTTCTCGTGATGAAGTGACATAGCAGAGCCTAAGGGAGGTGGCAAGGACACAAATATTTCATAGCTCTCCTTTGTGCTTGCAAATGGCTGATCTATTTATTTTCCTCTCTTTGAAATGGCAGGCAGTGAGTAATCCCCAGGTCCTGCTCCATTTCAGAGAGAGCATCGCCTTTGTTCTCACAGCCTCGGGCGGGATGGGGGATGATGTCCGTGAAGATGTTTGTGTCAATCTGAAACAGGGCTGAACTGTGATCTTCAAGTCATTCTTTTCTCCATGAGTGTTGTTGCAGCCCTGGGGTTTGCCCGTGTTTTACAGACATGAATAATGAATGAAAAGAATGTGTGGTGTCTGAAGGGAAACAATTCAGCTTTTGCACTCATAGCAGTGTTTTTCTGAGATCTGGGAAATCTGGGGAGCTGCACTGTTGCTCTTTCCATTAGCTTTATGCTCAGGACACTGCCAGAGCTGGGAAGAAGTAAGTGTAAGCCTAGAAGTAGCTGACCTCTGGAAGCTGCATAGCCTGTGGGACAGAGCCTGCTGCCCTCCTGATCTCAGTAGAGTAGTGGAAAACCTGAATCCTCCAGCCCAGTGTGTGCAAATGAGCATGGGGTATTTCAGGGCAGGAAATACATAGAAGTTAGAGAGCCAGATGCTTTGCAACTCAGGATGATGAAGATCATGGCCTGAATAAAGAATAGGTCAGAGGCTCACAGGAGGAACACCAGATCCTTCTCTGTACCCTACACGGGAATGACTTTATCTCCAGAAGGTGCTGCAGGGAGAAATGGAGTGGTGTAAGAGAGTCTAGCTTGTGATGGAGAATGGGTGCAAGAGAACAGAGTCAGCAAGGGAATAGAAGTGTCTGAATTTAGTCTCCCAACAACAGGAGGTATGGTAGTATGTGCTGCCTACGCCTGAAAGAGAGTGAAACCTTCATGTCCCTTTGACAATAGTTTAAAGCCAGCAAGTATCTCCAAAACGCAGAGAAAAAAGTAACTTTAAAATAACAAAGGTCTGTGTCCTGATCAGTTTGAATGTAGTGCTGTGTGGCAGTGAGAAGTAAGGATTGGGATGGGTGTGTTGTGGGTTGGAGAAGATGCTTTGCAACAGCTGCAGTATGTCTGGTGCAAGACCTACACTGGAGATTGCATATGGAAATTTGTGGACAAGAATCCCCAGAGGTCTTCATTCCTGCATTAAATCTCTATCTATTGTGGAGAGGACGTGGAAGAACATAGACATGCCCATGTGTGGCAAAGGGTTTTTTTGCATGTTTATGAGCCAGCTGAGTCTAAAGGGTTACACAGTACAACATTTGCAGGATCAGAATTGTACCTTGAACAGTACATTTTCTGAGGGAGAATGAAAATCAGGGCAACTTTATTTCTGAGTTTCTTTTGTTCTTGCTCAAATACCTGCATGGATGTCTAATGCTTTCTTCTGTACTTAGAATGGGAAGTCTTACCTATTCCCTGTTCTCTGTAAAGCTGCTAGGTGCCACAGCAATTGAGGACAAGCTGCAAGATGGGGTCCCACAGACCATTGAGACTCTTGCCAAAGCCAGCATTAAGATATGGGTTCTTACTGGAGACAAGCAAGGTAAGGGGGCTGCAGTTTGGGATGCCTCCTTCTCTTTCATTGGTGAGATGATTCCACTAGGACCCATATTCTCAACCTCTCTCCTTTGAAAAACTGCACAGAGGGTAAACTTGGAGGGCTTTCTTCAGTGCCAGGAAGACAAAACTTTAGTTAGCTGCAATGAGACCAGTTAACTGCAAGTAGTGCCTGTTCCTAAGTCCTGACCTGAGGATGGAAACAGTATGAAGATAGTGTCCTTTGCCAATGGAGAGCTGACAGTGAAATGTGTCACCGTAATACAGTCTACTGTCCTGCTGAAGAAAGCTAGAAAAAGTTAACTGTAACTTTCAAGAAACTTGAATGCTAAAGCTGGTCTTAGTTCTGTTTCTGGCATTAACATTCTAGAACGAAAATGGAGGAAACAAAAGCTTCTGTAAAATTCATTATGCTGGAAAGAACTGTGAATAGAATCCAGTGAATTATTTTGGAGAAATAATAACCTTGCTGAAACAATGGCATTTCTGGGATGCAAAAAGTGTTTCCAGATCACTGCAACCAAGAAATGAGCAGTGAATTTTTGAGAAAAAAATGAAGCATTTAATTTTTCCATGTTCAGAGTGAAATAAATTTACTTCTGGAAAAAAAAACAAAATACTTTTTTCCCCATGGAGTTTTCTAAATAAAAAGTCGTGATATTCTTCTTTGGAGCAATGATCTGGGGCTACATTTTCACTTCTAGGATAGCAGTAGAGGTGGGAGATGGAAACTTCAATATCCTGAAAAAAATTTTTGGAGGCAACACAAAATGTTTTAGTTGCTCCAAGCGTGTTGACCAAAGGGTATTTCGAGCTTCTTTAGGTTTTTTTTTTTTTTTGTAGATTTCTTTCCTTCTGTGGCCTTCTAACACCTGGCTAGAGACCTGCTGCTACACCCATCTAAAACACAGACTGTGGGTGGGTAATCTCTCCTGCCTTTCTTTCCCAGAGACGGCAATGAATATCGGTTACTCCTGCAACTTGCTGTATGATGACATGGCGGATGTCTTTGTTATTGAAGGCAGCACTTCTGAGGATGTACTTAATGAGCTCAGGTAAATGGTTGAAATATGCAGCTTCATTACTGTGCACTGACACTGGAGTGGCCAGTATTTTGTGTTGTTCTCTTTTTGTTCTTGTTCACTGATTTATTTTCCCCTGGATGCTTTACATGGCATAGCTCATTTCAGGGGAGATTGATTGGTTGCCTCCCTGGAAGACCTAGCAGCTAGACAGAGTGTAGAAATCTTTGTGAGGGTAAACTCTGTAGCTTCTTGTTCCAAGAATTCAAATCTGTATCACTGAACAAGGCAGCAAAGTCATGCAGTCAGCATCAGTTGACATTGGACAAGTGGTGAGGAGTCACAAAGCCTTCAGGCTTTATCTGTGCTGTTGCTCTACTGCCGTTGTTGTTCATTCACACTGTAATTCGTTTGCTTGGGTATGATCCTGGTCTAGCATTATCTGGAAATCTGCATTCCTCCAGGATAGGAGGAAAACTGGAATTTTTTTCAACCCTTTTCTCTTTAAGGAGGTAATTGCCAAACAACATGCAAGGAAATTTGGGATCCCTTTGGAATATGGTTTTTTGTGACATTCAGATCAGTTGTTTTTTGTCTTCAGCACAGATTTAGAAAATGCTTTGTAGACTTTCAGAAGTATATGGGTGATGGGCACAAAAAGCGACAGCTAAACAGTGCATGTTGTGGTAAGGATACAGGAAAAATGGAACTAAACTAACAAAAGAAAGCTCCAAATTACTATCATCATAAAGCTGGTCTAGTAAATCATATATCTCTACAAGATTTTAATTCTTATTCTGATTTTTTTTTTCAGGAACGCAAGGAAGAAGATGAAGCCAGACTCCTTTCTGGACAGTGATGAAATCAACATTCAGATTGAAAAATCTTCCAAAAATCCAAAGCTTCTACCTGATGAACAAGCAAATGGGGTGTATGGTCTGGTTATCAATGGCCACAGCTTGGTAAGGAAGTCCAGAGTCATGGTAGACTCAGTGTTCCTAAGAAGTTAATAAGTTCGAGATGTACTGGAAGTCTGAAAATCTTTAAAAATTAGCAATAGAGGACAGAGGTTTGTTTTTTTTTTTTTTTACCTACATGTCATGTTTTGTGGTTTTTTTTCTCCCGAATTGAAGATGAGCTCCAGTGGTTATTTGAGACATCAGAGGTGATGAGCAAGACTTCAGAAGGAGCAGGAAAAAGCTGGACCTGATGCTTAGTGAGCTCGAGCAGTAGGGCAGATCAGTTATTCTTTCCAGAAATAAAGTGGAAAAATAGTCAGGCAGTCAGTGGATGCGCCAAGAAAATAAGATAGCATCAAATGTATTTCAAGTATGCCAAGATTGTAGTCTGATAAATACATATATCTGATAAAGATAGAATATATGTCATAAAACTTGACTAATACATTCTTCAGTGCTCCCTGTGATGTTTTTCCAAGCAAGCTGAAGTAATATGGTATTGATTAAGTTTTTTATGTGACAAATGCAAGGCTGCTTGGAAAGTATGGCTCTTCTGTAGGTATGAAACAACAGTGACATTTATAGTGGGCTATCCCACATCTATTCAATACTTAGTATTTTAATTAAATTTAATTAAATTCCAAAGAAAGCAGACTTCTTAAACCTGCAGATAACACCACACTGGGAGGAGCTGCAGGCATGATGCAAGAAGTTCAAGATTAGATTTGGAAATAATTTTGGCAAGTTGGAGAAATATCTTGAAAAAAGTAGAAAATGCAATTCAGGAAGAACAAGTGCATTGTTCTCCACTTTCACATAATCAGCTGTGCACATATAAGATCAGACGTATGGATGTAAAAGCATCAGCTGTACTACTTGCAAAGAAACCCTCCTGCTCCATTTGGCATCAGTGAAGTTGTAGCTGAAATAATACAAGAAGTCACTTGCCCTGCACCTGGCCTTTTTTTTATTATTATTATTTGGTTGGGGGGTTGGGGGAGGCAAGGGGGAAATTGTAGACCAACCAGAGAGAATGCAAAGAAATCTGTAAGATCATGCATGACCTGGAGAGCACAGATGAGAAGTAAGAGAGTTAGGGTTTCTGAGCCTAGGGAATGCCAGTCTACCCTGATGGGAGCAGGTAAAAGAATTAACAGGAAAATATCTCAGCTTGGATGTTAGGAAAAACATTTTCTCAGTGAGAGTGATCGTGCATCAGCACAGGCTGCCCAGGAAGGAGGTGGAGTCACTGTCACTGGAGGTTTGGCACTGAGTGATGTGGTTAATAGGCATGGTGGGGATGGGTTGATGGTTGCTACCTCTTAATAGCAATCCAGTACATTTAACTCCCAGCTCTATACCAGCCCTGCTAATTACTACCCAAAAATCTTATCACTAGATGTGGTGTATTTCTATGAACCTAGGGCTTGAAGAGTGGTAATTGTCCTGCTAGCATCCCACTTTAACAGAGCATCTGGCCTGTGCCTTGTCCCCTTGTCTACTGTACTGTGTACACATAGTCTTGCTGAGACACAGAAAGGACAGGGCAAAGAAGCAGCATCATACAACTAGCTGATCTCTGCGCCTGCCAGTAGCAGAGTTTCTATGTGATAGTTTTTCCTGGGACTGTGTGGGCAGGATGCTGTAGCAAAAACCATCTCTAGCTGCAATCACTAGTACATGCACTAAAACCAAATCAAGAACAGGTCTCCTTCATTGTTTCCCTGCCACTGACAGGAAGGAAGGAGGGTTCTGATAACACAGTATTTTAAAGCTCTTGGTTCTTAAACAACAAAAAAAGGACATCTGGCCAAAGGATGGTCTGCCTTACAGAGGAAGGGCTGTAGGCTTGCTGTAATGGGTTATGAGAAAGAGAAAATCACAGAACCATTAAGATTGGAAAGACCAATAAGATCACCTAGTCCAACGACTTACCCATGCTTGTAACCTCTCCAAACCATGTCACTTAGTAAGCTGAAGCTAGGTAGATTCCATCCATGAATGTCTATGGAGGAAAAACATCAAAGAACAGAGCCAAAAACCACAATCTGAAAGAAATATGAAAGGTTAAGGTTTCTCTGGCAGAACTGGAGGGGTAACCAGAAATCCAACTGTGCTTTGCTTTCTCAGGTTCTTCTAAGCTCAGCGTTTTCAGGTACCTCATACTTCTCTTATGCTGAATGGAAAAACTCCAGATCTCACTGCTGGTCTGACACAAGCTACTGGGAAACATCTCTGTCTTTTCTTCTCAGGCCTATGCGCTGGAAGGGAATCTGGAACTGGAGCTGGTGCGAACGGCGTGCATGTGCAAAGTGGTGATCTGCTGCCGGGTGACTCCGCTGCAGAAGGCCCAGGTGGTGGAGCTGGTGAAGAAGTACAAGAAAGCTGTGACCCTGGCCATTGGAGATGGTGCCAATGATGTCAGTATGATCAAAAGTGAGTAAGGGCTGAGAGCCAGCATGCTCCAGAAAAATGATGCACTGCCACGTTTGCTACCTGAGGTGTCCTAACCCTAATCCTAAATGTAAACCTAGCCCTAACCCTAACCCTCTGAGGGGCCTCTCTTTAGCTCCCTTGGTGGCAGCAATGGTTGTGTCCCAGGTTTCTTGGTTTCATAGGCTCAATCATAGAATCGAATCATAAGGGTTGGAAAGACCACTAAGATCATCCAGCTCAGCCATCAAACCCATTGTGGTTTCTGCCCTTCTAATAGACCTGAAGCTCCATGGGGTGCAATAAGTCCACCTTTATGACTGCCTGCCATCATCATAATGGTAATGCAAAGGACAAACAAACTTGTTTTAGCTGGGGGTCTATCTGCCATGCAGAAGGACAACCTCCACAGCTTTAAATAATCTGCACAATGTCACAGGATTTTTTTTAACATTTTCACTTAGTGGGGCCCTTTGTCATTTATCTCACACGTGTCATAAAACACAGGCCTCTAGGCTCCTTTATCCTTGAGCATCATTTGGTGCTGCATTTCCTCAATGAATTTATGAAAAGAATCCCCCTAACTATGTATAATTAAATTAAGATTATTCAGAAGGGTCTATTGCTAATCTTCCTGTGTTAATTTGCAAGAATTGATTAACTGGAGCTGTTTAATTAAGAAAGAAAAGGCTAAGTAGGGAGCTTCAAGGGAGATAAGTCAGGCAGCCAGTTAAGAAAGGATAAGAAAAGCAAATTAAAAAGTGTAAAATGATAATTAGAAACTAACGCTGCCACTACAAGAGGGTTGGGACTTTGGGATTTTATCAACTCACTGTTCCATGGAAACTTCTGAATCTCACCAACCCTTAGCCATCAAGATTGCTTGCTCATTAGTTACAGCTGTATAATTAGCTGTCATATTAAACTTTTGTCCATGTTTAATAAACCCAGGCTGCTATTAAAAGAGATGTGGCTCTTCTATCTAATTATATGATTGAACTAATAAAGCCCAAGAAATGTAAAGGCTGCAGTTAGCCTTATACTACTGTGTCTGATAAATCTGTGAAGCATTTGACAGTGTGAAAGTTTTGCTTGTCTGAAGCGATGTTTTAAGGCTGTTGGAAGGATTTTCACGCATGTAAATACAATTCATGTGTCAACAGAAATTAAAGGTATTTATAACAGCAGCAAAGATTTGTGCTGTTGGAAAATAAAATGTATTGTCGCAGAGAATGTAGCTCCATTCAGGTAGTACAAGTCAATTACTGCAAATGAATCAGTGCAGCCAAAATCATAACAGTGCTGAAAGAATTAGTACCCTCTAGTTGCTTTTTTTCCCGAATATCTTTATGTAAGACATTTCAAGCAGTCTGGGATGGAATTAACACAATGTCTCAGGGTGAGTGATTCATCTAAGCAGTGGGGTTACCACAAACCTTGCTGTACTCATGTAGGATGGTAGATTCATAGAATCATTAAGGTTGGAAAAGACATCTGCAATCATTTATTTCGACCATCCACCTATAACCAATACTGCCCACTACTCCGTGTCCCTCAGTACCACCTCTCCACGTTTGTCGAACACCTCTAGGGATCCACCACCTCCCTGGGCAGCCTGTTCCAATGCCTCACCACTCTTCCCTAGAATAACTTTTTCCTAATATGCAATCTGATGTGACCAGTAACCTCTTTGTTGCAGCTGCCCACATCGGGGTTGGTATCAGTGGCCAGGAGGGGATGCAGGCAGTCCTGTCCAGTGACTTCTCCTTTGCGCAGTTCCGCTACCTGCAACGCCTGCTCTTGGTCCACGGACGCTGGTCCTACATCCGCATGTGCAAGTTCCTCAAGTACTTCTTCTATAAGAATTTTGCTTTCACGTTAGTGCATTTCTGGTATGGATTCTTCTCCGGCTTCTCAGCTCAGGTAGGTCAGCTTCTCTGTCTTCATGGTCGTGTTTAGCATGTCCAAGGAAAATGCCTGCAAATATTTTAAATGAAAGTAAATTAAACTAGTTCTCCCTGCCTCACTATAAGGCACACAGTTCTGTCTTCAGCTTGTACAAAACTGATACAGTATTGCTGGTAAAGGAAAGATGCCTAAAGACATTTAGCTGCCTTATGAAGAATGTAGGCACCTCCTGGGATTTTTGAAAGTGTTCAAAATGATTACAGCCATCAAAGTAGGATGCAGATTACCCAGAGCCTGACTGTTGTGGTGCAGATCTGTGTAGGACCTGTGATTTTCATGAACATGCAAGAAGAGCCATACTGGGTTAGGTCAAGGTGCTCTTGTTGTGACTGTGGGCAGTAGTGAGTGCTTAGCAGTTAGGATTGACATAAAGTCATCCTTCTCTTGCATGTTCCCTACCTTCTGGTAGTGAGCAGGTTAGGGCTGTTGAGCTCAAGTCTTGCTGTACTTTTGCTCTCAATAGTATCTTCAGTCACGATGCTCCAGCATCTAACTAACAGAATTACAAAATGGTTGAAGTTGGTATGACCTCTGGGTCCGTCAGGTCCAACCCTTGCTCCAGCAGGACCATGTCCAGGCAGATCAATAAGGCAGATCTACAAGGAGGAGACTGCTTTTATAACTCTGTAATCTTGTGAAGAGATGGAAAAGGCAGCATTCTGCTAACATGATGCTCTGTTTTTTTATTCCCTTCAGACCGTCTACGATCAGTGGTTCATTACGCTTTACAATCTGGCGTATACCTCCCTCCCAGTGCTGGGAATGAGCCTTTTCGATCAGGTACTGTTTTGATCACTCCTTGCATTATTTTTACAGGCGTTTTATGTCTGGGTACTCTGAGTTGATTCAGTGAAGCAAAAACAGCTGGCTCTTTGGCTAGCTGTTGTAATAGTCCCTAAAACAGGTTCCTGCCAGTAAGACCTGAGAGCACAAAAAAAAGGACACACCAAGTAGGAGATTGTATATTATCGTGCCTTGTCCTTGTGTTTCAGTGTTTGGAGATGTTTTGGTGTTGACATGAGTAAAAGATGCTATGGTGCCATTACCCTGGAGCAGCCACATCTCAATGTGATTCTAAAAAAAAGCTGTGATTCTGAAGCCAGACAAGTGGCTTTTTAATCAGCACACAGAATAACAGATGACACACAGCTCTGAGGATCCTCTTAGCCAGGAGGTCCAGGTTAAGCCTTCCTGCAGTAATTTCACATGTACATGTATTTCACATACACATTTCTACCTCAGTAGAAACACAGCCAGAATGGTATTTTCTGTCTTTAAGCTTCCAGGAAACCCGTAGGAGAACAGGGCATGCAGTCTGATTAAGATGAAATGTACCTTCTTTTTTTTTTTTTTTTTTTTTTGCAACACTTATCAGATTTCTCAGCACAGAATGGTGAAATTTGGGATGGCAAGCAAGTCTAGGTGACCTCGATATGTGGCATGCTAGTCACTGAATTGAGTGAATTGGTTGATGAGCCTTTTCTCATGGAAATGAACATAATGGGGACATGGCAACCTTAAGTGGTTTTGTGTGATTGGTTAGGAAGGGGCCCTCAAATCTGACCATCTCCTCTCTATTTTCAGGATGTGGACGACCGTTGGAGCCTGCTGTTTCCACAGCTATATGTGCCTGGACAGGAAAACCTCTATTTTAACAAAACAGTGTTTATCAAGTGCATGTTGCAAGGCATCTACAGTTCCCTCATTCTCTTCTTTATCCCCTATGGGGCCATGTACAATACGATGAGAAGTGATGGGAAAGCCATTGCTGACTACCAGTCCTTCGCCCTGATGGCCCAGACCTGCTTACTGATTGTGGTGTCTGTACAGGTAACAGCATCCCTGACTGTATTTAGGAATCTCTTGCTGTTTTAAGAAGGCAGTGTCTGGAGGGCCACTTGGGATTCTGATAGCATTGTGTTTGCTGCTGCATCTTCAATTCTTGCAGAAGTAAGATGCAACACCAGCTTATTCTCCTCAATAGAACAATAGATTTTTCTATTGCAAAAATCACAGTCACAGCAAGGCAGAGTTTTTGCCTTGGGAAGTTTACTGTCACTGTGGAGAAGGTGGTTAAGGCTGGAAGTAGAAAACGACTCATTCCAGTTTTATGGGATGTGATTGAACCATAGGACTGTGTCTGCCAGCAGGCACGTTATTTAGGGGGTCTCCATGCATAGTGCAGAAGCTAGAACTGGACTTAGTGGAAGAAATTGCTAGGACTTGGAGCTACAGCATTCAGATGGTATTGGAATGATGAGAGAAATTTCTCAACAGAAAAGTGAATCATTCATACCTCTCTAGAAAATGGTTTCTGCTTTCTGAGGTCTCGTGGGCTCCTTCTCCTAGCTTTTGATGGAAGATCACAGCTTGGAGTGGGGTCGTAAGTATGGCTTCTTTGATGTGAGTATCCTGTCTCCTGTCACCATTCTCACTACTGGTGAATTTTTGAGAAGGGGACAGAAGAGAGCAAATGCAGTACTGCTTGCCCTGAATGGTCTTCCAGCATTCTAAGATCTAAGGCTGCATATTTCTTGAGGACTGAATGAACAGCTGTCTTGGGGGTAGGGGTATAAAGTGGAGGACAAGATCTCCAACTGTCTTCAAACCATATCTATTAAATAATGAGGGCATTGGCAACAGTTGTACTGCTCTTCTCTTTCAGATTGGCTTGGACACCTCTTACTGGACAGTTGTGAACCAGTTCTTCATCTGGGGCAGCCTTTCTGTTTATTTTGCTATCACCTTCACCATGTATAGTGACGGCATGTACCTGATCCTCCCAGCCTCATTCCCATTTGTTGGTAAGCACTTGGGCAAACCTGCATTGCACTCAAAACTATTATACTGTGGGGCTTAATTCTGCTAAGTGCTTCTAGTATGGGTTCTTGCCTCTCTGAAGGCAGTAACATGCTACAGAGTATACTGATTGCCTTTTTCACAAGAAATGCCAGGGTACTTCTGCAGGCAGCCACAAATGCTTATTTTGAGTCCCATCCACCCATGTGAACAAGTGCCATGTTCACTTCCTTGCAGAAGAATGCACATTCTCACACAGCCACAGGACCAATCCCTAAAATAAACTTGCTGAGCTGGCTGGAACACTTTCAGCTACATTTTTACATTCTGTTTCCAGATATCCAATTCTTATAAGTGCCTGGAAGCATTTTGTTTGCAGAAGGATGCATGTTATGTCATAAACAAATTGATGTGTTAGTATAGAAAGACACAGAAACACGACATCTATTTAGATGCCACAGGACAATGGTGAGCTTAGACAGCAAATGCCGAAGGATAAAGAAATGCCACTGATGATTATCAATTTTCATCTCTGCATAAAAAGTTTCTGAACACGTGAAAAAGGAAAAGATACCATAAAAATGAATGTCTCATGAGACTTTAACCAGGGGGAAGATGAAAGATTAGAAAACTAATTTGTATGTTTTTAATGGTTCTATGTATGCATTGATGTGCCATTGCTAGGAGATTCTACTCCTGATAGCACAAAGCTTTTTGTTTCACACCTTGGATCATTGTCCAAATCAATACATTTATTTCTGGATGGACTGTTGAACCAAGACCCGTTCTGCCTATATTCACTGCATGGCCATTTTAGAAATTTCTTAGATTTCAGTCAGTGCCTGCAGTGTGTCTTCCAAGCAGATGGTAAGATGGCTTTTAACATCAAAAACGCTAAATGTGAGAAGGTAGAGTGTCTGCCGAGTTTCCAAAGACAGCTGGTAACTCAATTGCCAGGGGTTTCTCTATCTGCTGTTCTGTTGGTGCTACTGAGGTCAAATCATCCATAATGCTGAGTGCTGTTTAATAAGGTATTAGTTTGAAACCACATCTAAAGAAGTGTTTCTAATCTGGACTTGGAAAACTTTTTAACTTATTTTGCTGGAATTGGCAGAATTTGGCCAAGTGAAGACACTCAGCAACTTTACTGCCAACAACATTGTTGAACACTGTAATGAGGGTTTTGTAGACTGTTTTCTCTATTCCTACATTCCTTCAGTTTTCAGAGGAGCCAAAAGCCAGCACTTTGGTTTCAAAAAACACACAGTGTCAGATATGGCAGCTAGTTTGCCCATTAGATGCACACCCTGAGCAATGCACACTCCTCTTCTCAAGAGCTGTGATCCTGTCCATTTAGGGAAACAGTGCTGAAATTAGGAAGTGTTTTTCCTTTTGCACCTGGAAAAAGTTGGGAAGGTTGAATTGCTGCTGAAGGTCTCTTGAACATTTACATCAATCTTCTGCATTTGATTTCTCTCTTTAACATACTCTCTGTCTGAGAGGTTGAGTTTGGATGTTACCTTCCTGGTTGCTCATTTCACTGATAATGATATTGCTGTCCTCTGCAGCAAGTTCATTTCACTGTTGGAGAAGGTTTCTACTTTATATTTTCACAGAATCACACAGAATCACAGAATCACTAAGGTTGGAAAAGACCTACAAGATCATCCAGTCCAACCATCCACCTATCACCAATGGTTCTCACTAAACAATGTCCCTCAACACAAAATCCAGACATTCCTTGAACACCTCCAGGGTCGGTGACTCCACCACCTCCCCTGACTCATTCAGTGCCTGACCACTCTTTCAGAGAAGTAGTATTTCCTGACATCCAGCCTGAATCTCCCCTGGTGCACCTTGAAGCCATTTTGGTCGGTTTCCCAGTGTTTTGAGTGACAGTGATTGAATTGTGCCATTGAATAGAACGGTGGTGACATACTGTTGATATGCTTTTAATTGTTTATTTTTCAGGTACTGCTCGAAACACTCTCAGCCAACCCAACGTGTGGCTAGCAATCTTCCTCAGCATCGCCCTCTGTGTGCTGCCCGTCGTTGGCTTCCGATTCCTGAAGACTCTCTTAAGGCCAACTGCCAGTGATAAAGTAAGGAGGCATTTTAGTAAGCCTGAAACCCTCTTCCTACCAGCCAGGCTTATCGCAGAGCCATATTGCAGGGGCCTGGCAATGCTTGGGGCGCACGTCCCGCAGGTGCAAGTGTTTGCCATCCATCTGACTCCCAGTCCCTTGAGCAGGAAGACTGAATTTGGCTTTTGGCACTGCTTAAGCCACCTGCAGCTGGGACTGGGGCTGAGATTATTTAGATGCGGATTGGATTGCACTGGAGTGAGGAAGCAGCACTATTTTTAGGTGCAGGGTTTAAGTCCTGGGGCTTGGCAGCAAAGGAGCTGTGTATTTCAATCCTCTTGCCCTCATACTGCAGAATTTTTTGCCTGGCAGACCATAGCCCTCAACACCCCACCCAGCATCCATTTTGCTGGGGATTTTTTGATTTCAGAAGTTACTTCATTTGTAGCCCCTCCGAAACCAGCTGCCCTCCCGTGCCCAGGATCTGGAGGTGAGGCCGTTAGGGCAAGAGGAGGCTGGGAGAGATGGAGCACACAGCTCAGCACAGCAAACCACCCTTGCACAAGATCAGCATCCCGCAGCTCTCCCAGCTTCCTCTCAAACAGGAGCATCTGCTAAATGCTGCTGCCATCTCGTGCTCCCTTCCTCTTCCTGCACCTCGCTGTGGGGCCTTCATCCCTATTCACTGCAGGGAAATTGGACCAGATGACCTTTAAGTTCCCTTCCAACCCAAACGGTTCTATGATTCTGTGATTATCCTTGGGATGCCCACAGATCTCCTCAGGTACTCCTGGGCTGTTTGAGGAAGTGCCAGGGGGAATGCTCAGCTCTTGCAGAGGGGAAGGTGGGTGCTGGGTAGGAAGGTCCTTGAGACAAAGAGGAAGTTCCGATGTGCAGAAATGGGCCAAATTTACTCTTTAGCTGAGCAGACATAATTGTGGCCCAAAATGCCAGTCTCTGTGCACTGGGTGAGCATCAATAGTGCAAAACCACTTTATTGTTTTTTCCTACCTCTGGGAAATGAACTGTCACAGGAGAGGATTGTTTGGGTTTCCTGCTGTATGGAAATCCCCAGCTGGCAGCACAAGAGGAATTTAAATACAGGACTGACCCTTAGAGAGCCAAGTATCTCCAGCATTGTCCCAGGCAGCATGGACAGAGGGGGCAATAGGGGATTATCACAAGCCACATGGGGACAAAAGCACACCATATTTCTTCCCTCTGACAAAGGATATGAAAATCTATTGATCACCACCATCATAAAAACCTTGTACATATTGGAGATTCCCTCAAGTATTGCGTGTTCTGGTTTACGTAAGCCAAATTTTCAGCATTTCCTTATAGATTTTGCTTTCTGGACTTTTAGCTGTTGTTGCAATGACTTTTGCATGTTGGGGAATTTGACTGAAGTCCCTAAAAGAGCTGTGGCAATGCCACAACCAAGGTCTCGCAGAGCAGAAATCATCCTCTCCCAAGCCTTATAGACAACACTACCAGCTGTACTTTTTAGAATAAGATTAGTTTTCACCCTTTTCTAGCTGGCAAGTTCAGTTCCTGCTCTGCAGTCCTTCCACCATTCTCCAGTTTTGTTAATCATTTTTGGGTTTGGACCCTTCTTTTTTCTCTCCTTTCTTCACTCCTCTTTTACTGTGCTTGTGAATAACAGTGCATCTGCCACGTGTTCTGTTTCATTTTCTGATTTCAGGTCCTACTCAAGATCAAAGAAGCTAAAAAGAGGCCACCCCCACCGTCCCCCAAGAGACGCCTGCGTCGGACCAGCACGCGCCGCTCGGGCTATGCCTTCTCCCATCAGCATGGCTTTGGAGCACTCATTATGTCTGGGAGAAACATGCGGCCAAAATCACCTTTTGCCACAACAGGAACGTTTTCACCCAATAGTGAGAAATACAAGCACAAGGGACTGTAAGAACCAAAATCAACCAAACCAAAGCAAACCAAAGGGCTGGTGGGAAGGACTACCCAAGCAAGGACTTTGGCCTCTCCTTTCTACCATGTGCACTCTCTGGATTCAGCTCCTCTCCCAAAGCTGTGTGCTGTTCCTGGGGAAGGAGGAGCAGGGGAAGCAAAACTGCCATACAGTATCCCTAAGAGCCTCCTTGGAGCAAGGAGAACATGCTGCAGGAGGCTCCTTCGCTCCTTAAGATTGTAATGCTCATCATTTTTTTATCCATATATACCTCAGAGCACAGTGAAGTCCAGACTGAGGAAAAGGTTGAATTGGCAATGTCTTTCTAATCATGTGCCTTTGGGTCTGTTGGGAATCCACTCTGGGCCATAATACTGGGGTGACAGTATGGACCCCAGATGTGCCTTAGGTTCAGCCATACAACTCGCAAACCCCCAGTCTTCGTAACATACGTAATTCTATAGCCTTTTGACTATTCTGTACACAAGCACTTTGGAAAGGATGATTTGGAAGTAACCTCCTTTCAAACCAATGGTTGATCACGTTTCTCAAAGGAAGGCCAGTGTCCCCCAACCACCCTGTTCCTCCATGTTCAGTCAGAAGGTGCTGCAAGCTCAGAGAGGTTCCCACTTGGTCAAGGGACAAGGAGTTGACATTCATCAGTCTGCCATGTCTGCAATGCAAATCTGCTCTTGGGGAAGATCTTTGTCCTCACAGCCATCTCAGGTTTTTCAGCTGGGCACCAAACATTTCATTTAGACTTAAAATAGAAGGTCAAAAGAAATTCAGGCACCCTTATGAATCAAGCTCTAAAATCTAGCATGTAGAAGCCTATATCACAGCTAGGCTCATCTGAACCTCCAGCACCAGATGGATTTCCCTCCAAAGCAGACTGACATTTGAATTGATGGACTCACACCAGAAATATCAGTGGGAAAGATGCTATTTCACTGCTGGCACAGGGCATCCTGCCTTGTACTCCACTGGTGTGGCTGGTCAGAGTAAGGGATGAAGCATGATCTGGCTGCTCATTGCCCTCCCTGTTGAGCAGTGTGGTCAAGTTTCAGAGAACTAGGTAAGAGCTCATGGGCCTCTGCAGTTTTCTCTGTGCTGATATTTTGTTTCTGAATGGTTCAGCCACCAGTTCCAGGAAGCGGGAGGCTCCATGAAATCCTATCAGTCTGCCAGCAGAGGGACCTGATGATCTGGTGATGATCTCAAGAGGCTGGAATTGCTGGCAGCATTTTTGCACCAGTACCAATGGCTTACTGGGTGGAAGGCTGGTGTGGCTGTATGAGGATCTGTCTTGCAGTGCTGCTGAGCTGTCTATACTGAGCAGTTTTTTTGTGTGTGCAGAGGACTAAGCAGCTCTGCCTGTTATATTTTCTCAGTTCTTTTTTACAGACTTAGTCTCTTGTCTAGTATTGACTTAGAGTTTTGAACACTAACCACCTGGCATTTATTGGGAGCTCTCTGCCTTGACTCTGAGCTATTGCTGTAGGCACTCGATGGCAAGAGGCCAGCCATGTCCCCTCTTCATCTGGTCTGCACACAACACCATGCTGCCCGTGGTCCCAGTTTCAGCAGTTACTGTAAGAAATGCTTTAAGCTCTGATAGAAGGTTTTGTATCCCCACATTTATCTCAGTGCATATAAAATACCACTCTGTTGCACCTGCTGCTTGGAAGGCTTCTTGCAAACTATAGTATTAAATTTCAGCCTATAGTCAGTGCAAACCAGAGCTGGGACTGGATCCAAGCTTCAGCAACCAGAAGCTGTTTGGTAGGAAAGGAGCAAATTCTAATTCAGTTATCTCCCTTGCAAGGAGATACCTAAATAGACCGAGAGCCTTCACCCTGACTGAAGAAACTGCTGTGACAGTTGGTGCTCATCACTTCCCTCTGACTTACCATTCACTTTAAGGAGGGAATCATGGCTTTCTGATTAGATTTATCTCTCTGATAGTCAGACTTCTTGGGGCTGGAGTTGAAAAGAGAGTGTATGCAGGTGAGCAGACATCTACACAACACCCAATTTGGCCTGTGGACCTATCAGAGTTGTTCCCAGTGTGGAAGGCATCAGATTAATGCAGAGCAGCAGAGGCAGACTTTTTGCTAAGAGAGCAAGGAAACTCTGAGGCTGTGCCACTCACGTCATGTGTTTTACATACAAAGCACCTTCTGGCTAAAGGGGATTTGTGGAGGCTGCAAAGGACATGCAGGGGGTGGTGGATCTGTTGGGGAACTGTTTCCAGCTACAAATATTTCAGTAGTTTGTCAGAATCTAGATTTGAGACATATCATCTGGCAGTGATGTGTGTCCTGCATCACTTCTGATTTTGTAAAATATTTTTTTAAATAAAAAGAGAATATTGGGATTACCAATTTGTTGCCAGTCTGCTAACTGACCAGATGTTTTTAGAACCAGACATATGTTCTGGTAGTTCTGGGTTTCCTAAAGAGGTAGGATGGGCTGTGGGAGGTTGGATCTGAGATAACAGTGCCTTTCATAATAGAATCATTAAGGTTGGAAAGATCTCTAAGATCATCTAGTCCAACTGTCCACCTACCATCAGTACTGCCCACTAAACCATGTTCCTAAGTACCACATCTCCACAGTTCTTGGACATCTCCAGGGATGGCGATGCTACCACCTCCCTGGGCAGCCCACTTCAATGCATTACCACTCTTTCTGGTAGGACAGTTTTCCTCAGACCCTACTTCAACCTCCCCCAGTGCCTCTGAAGGCCATTCCCTCTAGTCCTATCACTGTTAAATGGGAGAAGAGGCCAACCCCCACCTTGCCACAACCTCCTTTCAGGGAGTTGCAGAGTGGTAAGGTCTCCCCTGAGCCTCTTCTCCAGACTGAACAACTCCAGCTGTTCCCCATGCAACAGAGCCTTCCCAGCTTTGCTGCCCCTCTATGAACATGCTCTAGCATCTCAATGCCTTCCTTGTAGTGAGGGGCCCAAAACTTAACACAGCACTCGAGGTGAGGCCTCATGAGAGCTGAGTAATGACAGAATCACAGAATCTTTGGAAAAGACCTCCAAAATCATCCAGCCCAACCATTCACCTGCCATCAGTATCTCCCCACTAAACCATGTCCCTTAGTGCAACATCTAAACATTTCTTGAACGCCTCCACGGATGGTGACTCCACTACCTCCCTGGACAGTCTGTTCCAGCACCTGAGCACTCTTCTGGAGAAGAAATCCTTCCTAATGTTCAACTTGAACCTCCCCTGGCACAGCATTAAGGCCACTTCCTCTAATCCTATTGCTAGTTACATGGAAGCGACATCTGGGCATGGGAAACTACCAGGAAAGAAAGCAAGCTGCAGCTGAGCGGCACAGTGCTAGGAAAAGCCCTGCAGGAGGTGGTTGTAACGGAGCTGCAACTCTTCAGTTTCCTCGACCTCCTCTAAGGATGCTCTCACCACACGTGTAACCGGGTCCGTTCGACTCAGCCGCTCCTGTCAGAGGTTCGCCCGCCTCCTCTCCCCACGGCGATCCACCGCCGCCGGAGCTGCCCGGGGGAGGACCGCGGTGCCGGGGGCGGGCCGGGCGGGTGGGGCGGGCCGTGTGGAGGACAGCGGTGAGGCTCCGCCTCGGCGCCCGGCTGTACACAGCGGCGCCGGTTCGGTAAGTGAGGAGGGGCGGTGGGCGGCAGGGGGAGAGCGGGGCGGTGGGGATGCTCCACGTGTGTGTCGGTGCCCGTAGAAACTACCGACCTTCTCGCCAGCGCCTGCTGGAGGGTGTTGCAATTCCTCGCTGCGGTACAGGCGTGGAGGAATGTGCGAAAAGCGCTGGTGGTAAATAGGGAGAAGCCCTGCGGGAATGATGGGCTGTGTCTCGGGAACGGACAGTGCTCTGCTCGGGGTCGGGCGCGGTGTCGTGACCTGCTGTGCAGCGTGCTTTCTGAAAGAGATGGGCATTCATCCTGCTACGGAGCTTTTTTGTTTGATAAATAGATAGAAAAATATTCCCTGGCTTATTATTATTATTATTATTATTATTACCATTACACTATTCCATAATACAGTGGTCTGAAAGGTGGGTTCTGTTATAACACCTCCATACTTCCTGGCCCATCCCTGGCACAGCAGTTTTGGGGTCAGGAATGATAAGGCTTTGATGCTAACTATTGAAAATGGGAAAAACAGCCTCTGTGCCAGCAGTTTGGTTGTGTTAGGGCAGAGGCACCTGGGAGTGTTTTATGTAACTCCCTGCACGTGCCTGGTGGCTGTCACCTCATCCATGTGCAGCCACACGAGGCTCTTCCAGTGACCTGTAGGCTGGCAGTCATTAATCATAAGCAGCTCCTGTGGCACAGGAGGCTGCTGGAGCACCACGTGCTGGCCTTAGGTTCTCTAACAGATGACACTCTCAGCAAGGTCTGTGCAAGATAGGAGCCCTGTGCATTGTGACCCGTGATAATTCCCAGCTGGGAACAAGGACAGGCACATAGGTGACCGTTTGGATACCTTAGAGCAGAGATACTGCATCCTGTAGCCCCTTCAGACCACTGGTAAAATTTCATCCTAAAATCCTGCTGTGCCATCTGGAAGGCTTCCTCTTGTGATGACTGACTTTTTATTTTTTTTCCCCCTAAATGTGTTCACAGCACATTTATTCTCTTGTTGTTGTGCCAGCATTATCCTTTTGCTTCAGCAGTTTTGTTTGTCTCCTGTGATATATTTAGAGAGCAATCCTATCCGCTCTCTGCCTACATTTGGCTAGGCTAAACAAGCCAGGCTCTTAAGTTTCTTCTTGTTTGATAGGTTTTCTGTTTCCCCCAGGCTCTTTATGCACCTGTTCATTTGAGTTTATCATTTTTAATTGTGGATGAACAGATTTTTTTTTCTTTTGTGTGATGCTCCTGTCACCACTGCCTGTATTATAGTGCAGATGGTTCACTGCCTTGTCTAGGTGGCATTTGCTTTTCTTAGGGCTGCATCATCTCTGCAATCCCTTATTCCAAACGTTGTTTTGAATATGCAGTTGCCCAGCTCTGTCCTTGCAGCCCAGCTATCAGCCTGGCAAACTAATACCTCAGATCTTTGGGCGAATGAAGCCTGAAAATGTGCCTTTCTGTCAATGCAGACTTTCTGAATAGATACAGATCTTCCTATTCTGTCTTTGTAAATGTGTTGTTTATTTCAATGGGAAGAAAATTTTCTACAGTCCATGCTGGTGCCTGTGTGGGGAGCCCTTGCCTGGGGCACAGCAGTAAAGAAATTGCCATTTGGGGCAGCCTTCTGGTATGCAGGACTGGCTGCTTTGATGTTACATGTCTTTGCACCAACTCCCCTGGAGTACCCAGCACCCAAAGTTCCTTAATGTCTGTGTGAAGCTGAGGTATGAGCTAAATAAATATTTCTTCTCTCACCGCCTCATGCCTGATGACGTGGGAGAGTGCTGAAGTCATCACAGTGTCAGTCTGTGTGAGCTTTAAAATGGTGTTTTTCTTGTCCTTGGGGGCAAGTTTTCTCTTCAAGGGCTGTCGGGGGCTTCTTACTGCATCTCCTTTCCTTCCAGCTTCTGTAAGCATGCTGGAGAGCTGCCATTCCTTCTTATGAAGACGAGTTCCTGGCCTCAGCCTCCTGCCTGGAACCACCTCTACCCTTATTTCAGTAGTCAGGACTGTGTTTCTGAATGAGTGGAGGTGGTCCAGGGCTCAGAAGAAAGGCACAGAGCTTTTCTGATCAGGCTCCATCAGAGAACTGCTGCACTTAGCTAAAGCTCAGCTGCAGCTCAGTTTTTCCAAAGCTAGCCTGCTGCTGCCCTACTTATTATAATTCGCTCTAAAGCAGAGGATGTTTTTCTCCACCTGGTGCTGGGAAGGAGCATCCTCTCTCCTGTGGCTCTAGCAGGAAGGGCAGTGCCTCTTATAACCTCCGTGTCCCTGTCCAGCTGCTCTCACAGCACTGAGCCTTCAGCCAGGCTGTAAACGGATCCAGCCTCTTCCTCCGCCCTCCCAGTGTCATGAGACGTTTAGGAAAATCAGAGCAAGGCCAGGCTTCCTCTGAATTAGGAAAACATGCCTTCCTACTGTGGCCTTTTAGTGGGTGCTCTGTGAGTTAACAGGAGGCGCCTGGCTTTTGTACATCACAGACAACCCTATTTCCCTCCCCTAAATTTGAGACTTTGGCTGGGGATCCTGGGCTTGTTGCCCCTTTCTGCATCCTCATATTGAGGATCAGCAGGAGCTGCAACCAGAAAAATGCAGAGCAAGATCATGCTGGGAGTCAGGAGCTGCCCTGAATTTTAGACTGAAATCTTCCGTCAGCTTGAGAACAGCACTGTCTTCCATCAGCCCACGTCTCCTAGTTCACATGCTGCAGAAAGGCTGCCAGGCAAGGTCCCATTTGGTGACCTTTCATGGGCAGCGGGTTTGCATTCTTTGGGCCTAGGGCAACACCTAAAGCTGCTTCAGCAGCTTCCTTACCTGCTGGCTGCCTCAGAAACCTCTAAGCTGTGCATAAGGGAGAACTGAATATTCAAAAGGTGTAAGCTTCGTCTGCAGTTGCCCAATATTTTGCCCGCAGTTCTGCTTCTGGTTCAGTTTTTGCTGTGGCAGCAGATGCTGTCTGACGGTGTTTGCTGTGCAGGGTGCCTGGCTTCCTACGTTTTCTCTGCAGCAGCAGCGTGGTCATGCTGCATATTGAGTGGGCTGGTGGAGCAGTTGGCTGGGCGGCGCGCAGTGTGCAGTACGTCTGCTCTGATTTTAAGTGTGCTACAAAATGTAACATTCAAGGCTGTTCATAGGGGTTATAGCTCGTTAAAACCTCCCTTTTATCTCTCTGCTGGGATGGAAATATTTTATATGAGTGCTTCTTTCACCCTTTTATCACTCCAAGCTGCTGTGTGGCACGGGTAGCTCTGAGCTCAGTGAAATGAAGTTATCGTGCATAGCTGCAGCTGCCTGATGATGTTCCCCGTGGTTAGCTCTGCTGAAGCTGGGCCAGGCACCAGGTCATGCTGCTTTGCCAGCTTGGCTTGGAGAGCTTTGGGGGAAAGTTCTGCTCACTCTGTCCCACCCAGATGTTGAGGGAGGCCGAACATCTGCCTCATGCAGCCTGCCTTCTGCTGAACACTTAATTCCCTGCTCTTTGCCAAAGAACATGTGTACAAGGGTGTTTCCTGAGGACAGATTACTGTAGCTCTGTTCTGGAACATGAAGCCTGGTGGGGTTCTACTTGTGATAGCTGCTCACCTAAGCCCACAGTTTCTCCCCTGCCTTCTCATTTTTGTATGTGTGTGCCCGGACTGGTAGCATTGGTTTCCACAAGTGACATCTGTTATGCCCCATATTGGTATTTTCTGAAGTCTTGTGAAGACTCTGTGCTTCCTATGGAGTCCTCAGTGGAG